ACGCGACTGTACACGATAATGTAGAAGATTTTAACTGTAGTCTTAAGGGCAAGGGCATTTTAATATAGCATTAGATGTTGTTGGGATTAGTTTGTAAAGTACTGTAATTAGTGGTAATCACAATAGATCAATTCGCACCCCTCGACAAATAATCGATAGAGTTACACGAATTGGTGAGGATGTAGGTTGTATTTTTCTGTATCCAATGAAGCAATGAGCATTTTTTGACGTAACTTCACTTATGCCATTCTTCCGTAAGGGGTGCGAATTAATGGTCGCAGTGATGAGGGGTTGCATAGACTCTGAATGAAGCCACTCTAGTAAGAATAATAGTAGTTTGTAAAGTTTGTTGATACAAATAAACACTAATCAACATTATAGAAATCAATTTATTTAAATTAAACTTGTTTACATAATGTTAAAAATTAAACCCCATTACAATAATTAATTAATGGCAATCAATCTTAAAGTAAGTGATGCTAAAATAAAGTCATTAATCCATTACATAGTACATTTTGTAAAATTTCAACAATATCTTAACAAATTCATAATTTACTTGTCTTACAAGCTATTCAACATTACAATGCTTGTTTGTACATTTTCTCAATCTTTGATTTTCGTTTATATTGTAACTAGTCTAAGATTATGTCCGTGCAAAACCAACAGGTCTAAATATTTATAAACGTCTAATTTGTTTCCATGATAATAAATTATATTTCAACTCTATTAACAGTTTTCTAAAAAATCGTTATGGATGACGCGTGATGAACATTTTACAAAATATTTTTGTGACTGCCTACTATCAACACATTTGATCATCTTGTTGTGACGGCATCTTGAAAAAAAAAAACATGTTTAAAATAAATCATCTCACAATAATTTGTAAGCGGCAACCATGATTTTTTTTAATAAATGAAACCAAATATTATATGGTGTTTCTATAGATATCAAAAGCGTTGGAAGCTTTGGTAAAGGGTGCGAATCTGCATACGCTGGATCAAATTTTACAGAAGGTTGTGTAACGTTATTACTTTGCTATTTCCATGGCTACGACTTTAATATTTGCACAGTACCTAAGTGTTGCCTACTCTGTATCATGCATAAAGCATAAACGATTATCTTTATTGTCTATGACTGGCGATGGGACGAATTGTATTTTTTTCAAGTCGAGTTGACGTGACTGCTAACTCGAGTTAACTCGTCTCGGTGTCTGACAAAACAACCGCGAGTCGCGAGTAGAACTCGAACCGACGATTCACGATCGGCCGGCCGACCGCGACTCGAGCGTGCTCCGAAAGTCGCCGATCCGACCAAGTGAGAACGAATAGCCGACGCGCTGTATAAATGAAGTATTCGACTCGGCAGGGAGTGCACCGAGCTAGCTCGAGTTCATAAAAAGCAGCTCGAGTTGACTCGTTGTGGAAGTAACTCGAGTTAAATAACTCGACTCGCCCATCGCTCGCACTCGAGCGTGCTCCGAACGTGGTTACCGAACGAGTAGCCGCTGATCATTGCGCTGTATGAATGAAGTATAGGCAAGACTCGGTGGGGCGGGTAACGAACTGAGTTAGCTCGAGTTCATAAATAAGGAACTCGTAGTGGGAGTAACTCGAGTTAACCGAGCTAAATAACTCGACTTGCCCATCGTTATCGACTCACTCTTGTCGTTCACCTAAAGCATGTCTTAGAATAAGTATTTTAATTATTAATTTTAATAATTAATTCTTTTTATTTAGGCCATCCTGATTTATAATTTCAACTCCGCTCAACAAAACCACACCCCGGACACTCCATACAACGCTCGAAAGTTAGTTACCTACTACTACTACATACAGCAAGGTGCTATCTGCACACAAGCAAATGTGTGCGTGAAGTGGCAGGGTTACCCATTACTATTTCGTTCTATTACGTTACGTAGTCAGACCGGCAACATAGAGAAAATTCAAACGCGAGTCTGTTATCTATAAAGCTCTAATATTATCGTAATAATTACACATGTTCATTGGGAATTTATGTCGATATATATTATATTTTTCATTAGTTCACTAACTAGAATAATATTGAAGGTTTGTTTTAAAAAATATACTAATAAGTATACAGAGAAAGAAAAATTGTTCGAAAACATACATTTTTCGAAAAATTGCACAAGAATTAAAGTACTGCCACCTTACCTATTCCTGCCACCAAGCAGTAATGTAAGCATTACTGGGTTCTGGTTTGAAAGGGTAAGCATGGTTAAATTACAGGCATGAGGGACTTGTCAACTTAGTACTCAGGGTGACGGGCGCAGTGCCAATGTCCCTAAGATTTTTGCGATTTAAAACTCTCAGTGGCACTGCAACATGTCTGTTTTTGATTATAATTTTTAACAAAATATACAATTGTCCAATTAAACAATAATTTTAATGTAAGTTACTTTTATAACCACAAGTAGGTAAGTAGAAACTAATATATTGTGCTAATAAACTACACGAAATTAATAATTATTTAACGCGTAAAATGATCCCCGTGGTTCAAACTGAGCATTTCGGGTAACCCGGGAGGGCTGGGATGGGATTTTAATACACTGCCCATCTCTGACCCTGATAGCAATTCCGAGGAATCGCTCCTCGTTGGCAATAGATACGAGTTAACAATAAAACTGACCAATTTTTGGCTTTCTCATCAATAGCAATGAGCATTAAAGAGGCCAAATCAAATAACTATGTGCACTAGCAAAAAACTAAAATTGGCTACATTTGTCAGGTATGCGGAATAACCCAATGCTAGTTACGCATAATTGTACTAACTCTCATAATATGTAAAAACGAAAGACTATGTACAAATTGAACAACAACTATGTACAAAAGTCAAATCATTCTTATTAGATTTAAAGTTTGTATTTGCAAAAAAGTTGCTAAAGTGATAACATTTTATAGTTTGATAAAAAAAGTAAGATGCATAGGTATGTATAGCTAAAAACATATGAATTACCTGAGGAATGGATTCATCCAATCTGTTGCTAGGAAATGGAAGTGCAGCTAGCTGTTCCACTAGAGCCATTGTCATCTCTGACTCCACTGTTATTTCTACCCATAATGTATCTGAAATAACATTGTACACTTATGTTAAGAACCAGAAACATTGCATTGCCTAGTACATTTACAATTTTATCCACTTCACAAATCTGAGGAGAAGAGTGTGCAACCAATTTTCTGTTAAATTATATTAGAGTGAAGGAACAATTATAATCAGGGAATGTATTTAAATTCTTTCTAAATGTAAGGTCCTAATTTATTAGCTGAACAACTCTGATAACATCTGAAATTCGAAATAAATACTGCTGTATTATACATTTAGGTCAGGTAAATATTAACATTTTCTGTTGAGCAGTTTATTCTTCTTTTTCCAATTTTAATGTGGTCTCCATAGCAAAAGTTGTTTGGTTTCATTTACTGAAAAGGATGTCAGCCAATTAAGTAGGACTTCATATACACAGAACAAAGGAAATTGAACAAGAGAAAATAAATTTACAAGCACCAATAAATATGAGGATACATGTTCCAAACTTACCTCCAATTTGGTCACCCTTATCCGTAACTAAATGGAAGTAACCTCTATGGGTGCCCGGTTTATTTGGAGCTATTAACTTTAGTGTTACAGTAGTGGAATGCCCAGGGGGAAGTGGTGGCACAAAAACTGGTGTAGCACCAAGAGGCTCACCACCTGCTTGTATCAATCTACAACTACCAGGCCACGCTTCTGTGCCTGTGTTGGCAATGCTCCAATTTTGTTCAAAACTGAAAATGATATGTTACAATGAAGATATTATATATATATATATATATATCTGTAATATATATATACATGTTACTTGAAACAAAGATCACTACACTGTGTTAAATTTAGTATTAATGTTGCGATGAGAATGCTTTGTGTAACCCAAAAAATTTAATCAAAATTAAAGCATTTTTTTTTCTGATAAATCATATCAGATATTTAATAAGAGTGCATAATGTTACCTAGCACCAGGTCCCACAGCAGTCTCTTGATTTTGAGCAGCTTTCAGTGACATTGATGGGAGCTTTGGAGGTAGAGTATAATCTAAGTAACAACATATAGCTGCCTGCAAATTCCTGCAACATTAATTTTATTACAAATAAGTAGTGCACGAAGTTAATAATAGTGTTTCCAAAGTCTGTTGTATGAAAAGAAATCGTTTACCAGTTACTCATATCCAAGAAGAAACTAGCTGTATTGTAATTCAAACTTGGCCCTAAAAGTCTTTGCATTTGGCTTATAAGTTCTTCCCTATCAGTAGTGTTCATACAACTAAACTGAAGGAGAAGGTTTTGGTCTATCTCCCCGGGGACCGAAGAACCGTCGATATCCATTGCAGGGTGTATCACAAAACACTTTTTATGTATTTCACCACTTCACAAAATATTGACATGCCCTTTGTTTACGTTGGTCAGCTGACTCCGTTTTTGCACGCTTGCACGCTGCACAAACCTTGGACAAATAATTGATCATATAGTTTAGTTACAAGTAATTACTACCTTTCGCAAATAATTGAATTTAGGCCATTATGTTAGACATAAATAATTATGTCGCATAATAGGAACGACTATGAATGACACCAACCTCTTGTCAAAATGTGTCAGTATTATGCCGACAAAAGATGTTCGGATACACGCTAAATATACCCTGAGTATACCCTATATAAAAATAAGTTCCTTTTCTGGCTCCTCGCTTTTAAGCCATTAAATAAGTAGACATTTAAAATAGTGCTAATACATGCGTATGTATACATTATCCTGCGTGTCGAATACAGACAAAGATTTTTCGTTCAAGCAATACAACAACAAATTAGATTTCAGGTTAACACAATGTGTATTTTTGACCGCCGAATCCGATGACATCATCATTTTACGGGATGATAAAAGACGCTATCTGAATTAATGTCCGACACCAGTTTGGTTTGTTTCAGTTATCAACCTTATTTTCAGATCATTATCGGAAAAGGAGTTCTCACTATCCTATCTAAGATATGCATGCAGTATCATTGTCTCGAATACAGAAATCCTCTCATACTTATATATATAGCGTATATATTTTCATACAAACCATATATATACCTTTACCATTAACAATAATACCACGTACTCCAAGCCGTTTAGGGATATCGTCCAATGAAAGAGTAGTGTTAATTCTCATAGTTTATTAATATTTTATTAGACCCTTTACCAAATTATTACAAGTAAATAAATAGAACTACATAATTGGTAATAAGTACCATTCCTTCAAAAACCTAGATCATCGTAACGAGACGAAAAGAACAATGTATATCAACTGCAAATAAAATTTACCATAAAAACAAGCAAAACAGCCATATTGCAAACATTTTCCTCTATATAAAATTAATTAACATTGTTTTAATGCTGTATTTAATTTCCGTGTAAATATAACTTTTCATTATTATATGTGACAATAGTTTTTAAATGCACACATCTAAAAACGATACCAAACAAACATCAAAAATGTTTGTATGTATTTCATATAACTGATCTAAGGCACAATCTTCTAATTTGATATAAGTATACTATCACTCATTAGTTCAAAACTGGTTCCTCATAAATATTACCCTTTATATATTAGTAAAATATTAATTTATCTCTTAATATTGACAACGTAATCAATGTAACAGCAAAATATCAACGATGTTATCATCTGTCTAGTTACAATACTTGTTTTCAACCATGTTATTTTTCTATCTTAAAATTACATCGATAACAAACTTATAAACGACATTAAAATGTTGGTAAGCTGTGTTTTGGTATAAAGGTGAGGATCGCTATACTAAAGCACGTCTGTTGATAGAGTGTCGATTTCAAACGGTGAGTAAAAAGGTGTTGCTTTCTAAAAACATCAGAGTCGTAACAACACTGAAAAATCTGTATCCATTGCTGTCTTAATAAAGATTGAGAGAAACATAATAAGCGCCAGAATATCTTAAAAATATGAACAAATCAATTGGTTTTTTAGGTTTATTATGATGATGAAAAAGATGGCCACATAGCAAATTTGAAAATGTGAAAGAAAAACGAAAAGAACTTTGAATGTAAAGAATGTGTGTTCCTGTAGTTTCTCAGTTCTTCGACCTACATGACATTGTTGTAGACCTTATAGGAAACTACTTGCTACTTTGTAAACATATGATAAGTTTACTTTGATCGCAAAAATACAGTACTTATATTCCATGGGTCGGATTGAAAAATAGCATGCAGTCTTTACACTTATAGGTGATTTCAAACAAACCTTCCTGTGTTGTAAAGAAAATCCTTAAAGTTTTCGGCGCTTATAATATTTTTCCTGAAGAAATATTAATTTTTATGCCCAAACGTACAAGGTAGCTAAACGAGTATGGTCTTTAAAATCAATACATTAAGAATCATTATTTTAAAAATACTGTAATAATATCAGATACATGATCGACGCTATGTTACATTCACTGATCTGAACAACGATCAATACTTTCAAGTAAGTGTGATTCTACCACACGAGAAATAAAACATTTACATCGCAACAATCAACAACATCATTTGTAATGCGAACAAATCAAACTGCACTCCCCGATTTCTTCGCACATTGGTCTAGGAACACTTTTCGATCCGTCCGGCATTACAACATTATCCATTTATTTAAATGATAAATAGTTAACTACATTTTTAAACCTCTTCAACTCTGTAAACATTTTATACTTAAGATCTTTTCTTAACTATATCTAAAATCTATAAAATATATTACTCTATTAAATATTAAAGGCAATATCTATCGTTAGATATGGACGGATTAGGTAAAGGCGCCCAACGGGGTTACCGATTAATGATTAATAGCTCTTAGATTATCTAAGCTTAAACAACTACGATTACGGCGCGGCGGTAGACACCAAAGGACATAAGCAACAGTCCTATTGTACATAACCAACAGTGAAACAAAATAAATATAAGAATCTCTATAAATAAATACGTGTTGCTCGTTTTAGGTAACTCACTACTACGCGGCGTCCGCGCTTGAAGCTACCGCGCGCCGATGGCCGTATTACAACGCCGCCAACTTATCCGCCCCGTGGCAGTAAAAGGAACTAACGTTACTACGTTTCAGAACGTCAAATGGACTGTCAGTTACATTTTAGCTAGCGACATTAGCGACACCTACCATGTAGCCAGATAAGTTGGTGGCCTCGTACAAAAACAATACATAACTTCGTTGGTAAACATAATTTCAGTTCCATCTAAGAAAACTTTCGTAAACTTAACAGGCAAGACCACAACCGATATTAAGTACTTAAGAGCTAAAGGAATGTAAATCTCAGGATTTCTTTTCTCTTTTTCAAAACATAATGGGGGCAGACGAAGGAATGCGTTAAGTCAGTAGCTTCTTAATAAAATAATAATAAACTATAATACAGTTTTCAACTGTCTCCGTAAACATAATCAGCACACAAGGAAATTAATATACCACAGATTTTTTATATAATTTTCAATAACCTTTCTATACCGTGTGGTTGAGCACTTCTATCCTCTTAGAAATAGAAAATAACTATATATTTTAATAAGTACTTGTTGTAAATATACCTAAGTGATAGTAAATATACTGAACCAAAATTAATAATTGCACCAACATAAGCACACGCATCTTCTCAAACTACAGAGCGACTGAAGGTGAAAAAAAACAGTATTATGCTTTTGTGCGAGATTATCTAGCTGGCTCGGGCTCGCAAACTGAGCCTAATTGAATATTGAGCAAAGGGTTCTACGGAAGGGCTTATTTATATACAAAAATCTACAATCCAATGTTAATGAAACGTGAAATCCAGAAAATAATGGTGCTTTTAAGTACATCGTAGTTTTTTAAATAATAAATAATAACAAATAAGTTTCACTTGTACATAAGTATAAGTCGTGGACTTGCATTACATGCATATAAAAGAACACATAAATAACGGAATGTAGAATTTATAATTCCTGTCTGTACACGATCACAATCAATTAAATAATCACGGAGATATCAGGCTTTGCCTTTTCATCGTCTTGTCAACAGCAAAATGTAAAAATATAATAATTTGTACACTCTTTACGATAGATTTTATATAAACTTTGTAGAATTTTCTATCGCACCAAAATACTATATAAATTTCGATTTAATATAGATCACGCACAGTACTGTCAAGTACCACATAACGAAATAATAAATAAAATAACTTTTAAGTCAACGTTTAAGTAGGTAGTCACTTCATTCCCCACCAAAGACTTGAACATTTTTGACAAATCTTACAATATGGAATGCATACGTCACAATTTGGAATGTAAAAATAATTTCTGCTGATTTACAATGCCTTCAGCTTAATTTCAAACGTTCGTACCGAGCGTTAATCTCCCGTCATATTAATTCATATATTATTTATCTCATACCCATTTTCGTTTAAGTACTAGAATATCCATATAAATATCTTCACGCAATTAACTATTTTAACCACTAAAATATACCTTGACGTAATTTGCACTTTTTAAAAATAAAACAGCTTCGGGGGGACGTTCAGCGTAGCATGTTCGAAGCACTTCTGCCTAACCTCGTGCGAGACACGGACAGCACAAAATATACCACACGCACACAGAAGATATACGACAAAGAAGATCGAAGACGGAAAAGGTACAACTAAAGAAGTGTATAAATGTCTTTCGAAGTGCTTACGTACTATGCACACGTAATGAGAAAGTGCATCATGGAACACAAAGTCAGTGATCAAACGGCCCCCCAGCAAGCAGTCATTGGTGGCTCTTGCTCAGTAGGTGGGAGTTGAACTCGTACACGTTGCAGCACTGCTCGCCGCAGATGTTGCATTTCCAAGGGTTGGAGTCGCAGTGGCAGCCTTTGTGCAGGAAGTACAGGGTGGAGTCGGGGAACGTTATGGAGCAGAACGTGCATACCAGCGAGGACGGCAGCAGCGCGGCGTCGCCGTGCGTCGACGTGATCACGCCGCCTTCCGACGGGGACGCGCGGGAGGCCTGGAACATTCCACGTCACACGTCAGTCTCGTCCATCTTCGCCATTCAAAATTTAACATCTCACATTTTTATAGAGTTCTCAGATTTTTGCGATTGTTACATAAGTACAGAAAACTAAATTTTATTGCATGAAAAGGGTTTATTTCAATTTTATTTTTTCCCAAAAATGTTACTTTTTTCTAATTACGTCACTTTATTATTGGGGGCACGAAATGTCTATAATAAATAATTACTGTAACTGTTATTGACCGACAACAGTTTTTCAACTTCGGCCTTTATTACAAGAACGAGACTGACCTGGTTGCCCAGGTGACATGTGATAAATGTGCGATAGGAAGTGAAACTATATTTTCGTATATTTGTTTTTTCAAACAAACCAACGTTTCGGGCCCTTTCCAGGTCCCATGGTCACGGGTGACTCAGATGGTCATCTCAAGCCATCAACCAGTTATGTCTAACATCATAGTCCGTCCAACTATTTAACTTTTGACATATGCATGCCTCCGAAGTTCCGTAATTATTGACATACAACCATAGACAAACAAAATGCGATACTTCCTGGACCCTTTTACTTATTATTTTAGTGAAGCGACGTCCTCTTTAGCTCGGATATTTATCGAGCCAACAGATTATGTAACGAAGATTATTCAAGTTGATAAATTGTGGTACCTGTCAAATAAATTATAATAAAATAAAATAAATTATAATAAATTATTATTGTTTATTACAAGGAATTGTCGGATTCTTCTCCATATGAACGGAAATCATCACTTGAATTCTCAATAACATTAATTATTAATTGTTGAGTACACAAATTGCCCAACACAACTTCACAATCCCAATCAGACAATGTCTTCTTTTTGGAACCCGCTCACATTCACGATTAAAACTTCTTCATAAATAAAATCGATTGCCATAAAAAATCGAATCGGAAACGCATTAAGATTCACTAATGGATTAGAATGTGAGCTGTCAAAAGTTAAATAAATGGTTGGACAGAGTATAATGCAAACCACACTATTGCACACAGACTACAGACATGACATAAGTCTGCAGTCTGCGAGCATATCAAGGATAAACCTACACTCAAATAAGTTCGACAAACCCCAGGTGCTCGAAAAAGAAGTCCGTTATTCACCCAGGATGCTATGAGAGGTCATTAAAATTAAAAGACATGGTTTCTCCGTACCACCAATTTGGAACCCAGTATTTTCTCTGATGAAAAATACCAAACAGACATAAGACTGCAGTACTATGTGTGTTTGGGATTGCTACAGAAATGATTACCATTATCTAATAAAATTTATTTTAATAGAAAATTATATTGTTAAAATCAAAATAATTTGTAAAACATTTTGTAGCGTAAATTGGAATGTTTTTTTTTTTTGGAAAATTTAAAAATACGTTATATAACTAGTGAAAAATAGAGTAGTTTGCATTAATATTAGACATGACTGGTTGATGACTTCACCATCTCAGTCAACCGTGCCGTACCATTGGAACTTTCCCTTTTTCCCTGACCTGACCATTTTTCTCATGGCACTTGTACAATTAGCTCAGTCTCGTTCGTGTAATAAAGGTCGAAATTGAAAAACTGTTTTGTCGGTCAATAACAGTTACAGTAACGTGTAGTATTGTATACATATAACTTGTTATGGTTATTTCGTACCCTCAATAATAAAGTGATGCAATTATAAAAAGTAACATTATTGGGAAAGAAATAAAAAAAAATGAAATAGAAGTTTTTTTCATATGCAACAGTATATTGATATATTTAACACCTGCTAAATTACATATTTAGTCGGTGTCATGTTCCATTATTTTTTCAATATATTTTGTCTGTTTTCTAAAAAAATCTATTTTAGACTTACGTCGTTTTAACTACGAAGTTAGGATTTCAACAGGGTAAGCGAATGTAGAAGGTATATGGTAAATGCTACAATGCAAGACATCTTTCATTCAATGCCTACTATTAAGTTGGAGATTTATTATATGGCCCCTTCGCCTCTACTAGCACCTGTACTGTAACAAGTGCGGGTCAAACAAGAAGATTGTTTAAAATAAAATAGTAAATAATTCGTCAGTTAAATTCGAAAACCTCCACTTCAAACCTCCATTAATGTGAACTTTTGAATAGGCACAAAAATAGAACATAAAAATAGTTACGTAACAATCTATGATTATACCTTTATTTTATAACTAAAAGGTGTATAAATTAAGTTTAAATTGCCTTATAGTTGAAGAGTAAAAAAGGGATCTCGTTCAGAATTAGAGTTAAGAGGTTTTCAAATTTAGCCGACGACGTGCGATAGAGAGACAGATAACAACTATTATGGCACGTTGTAATCGACTCCGGGTCACTAAACGAAAAAGTGCACTTTTGCGAAATGGTCAATAAAGGTTCTGAAATTAATTTTAAATTTGAAAAAGCGTGAGTTTCACTTAGTGACGTTGTTGTATTCAATGTGTGGTATTTAGAAAATATAAATATTTGAAACCGGTACTTAAGTGAACAATCATAATTCTAGTTTGAGCCGAAATTTATTGACTGATTGATAACTGACTGCAATCAGTTAGTTCGGAAATGAGCAACTCATCTTAACCTAATTTACAAATCTAAACATGACCTCTAAAATTAGAAGTAAGAATACTTAAAAGGTCACAATATGTTCGTGCATACGAACGAACGAAAGTGAAAGTGGTGACATTAATACCAGAGATTGAAATAGACAAGACTACGTTTACCTAAACTCAAGTAACACGTACTGGTATAGAATGGATATACCTCCCTCTGAAATGTATATTTTTGGTGTGTAATTAGCAATTAATTTATTCCGATAGTGTTATTTAAAAGACAAATCGTTAGTGATAGTGCAAATCCGCGCATGTAGCATTGGGAAAAGGCGCGTAACTGCACTAAACCAAATTTTACTGGACCGGGTTGTAACGTTAACGTAACTTTGTTATTTCAACGGTTACGACTTTCATTTTTGCACAGTAAGCATTAATTTATGTTGTCTACGTACTGATAACAATAGATTCCAATAAATCACGTTAATTTGTTGATTTGATTTGATTTGGCCACAAAACTACCGAAATGGAAACTCATAATCCAATGCTAGCTACGCGTAATTGCACTATCATCGACAAAGTTTAATTGTGAGTAAAATACAAACATTAAAAGCGTTTAAGGATCACGCACATTTTTGCTAATTATTTTATTTTACTTATTTTATTTGTTGAGCATTGGCTATAGAGCCATCAGCCTAAACAAGCAACAAACAATTAAGAAACTCAAAACGTAATAATAATTAAAATAAAAATTAATTTGTGAAAAAACTATAACTACAAAAACCCGCCATTTTTTTTTCTTATTGATAATTACTGAAAATCGGGTTTTTTTGCACCAATGAATTTTTTAACTTTGGTCGATTCCAAATTCAAATTATCAGATATGACCAAAAGAATCCGCCAGTGTTCAAAACAAATAATTTAAAAACCTGATTTTTAGTAATTGGCAAAAACGTGCTTGATCCCTAGAAACCTTGATCTATATATGTATATATATAATTTTTTTTTAATAAAATGTAAGTGCGCATTTGACCTCCATCTCACCTGATGGAAAGTGACGATGAGGTCGACGATGAAGCATGCACACTTAAATAATGCCTATTCACTCTCACCTTGGAATATCCACAACAATGAGGTGGAACCCAAGCCTACGCCTAGTCCTCCAGTGGTGGAAAGCGAAATTAAATCGTGTAATTCCATCGCACAAACTATTCTGAGATTTCAGGCAGAGGTACTATCAACTCGATGTATATTATTTGGGTTTTGGTATATTATGATCTCTGATAAATTACACGTCTGTGAAATATTTGATGCAAGTCAATCAAAGTAGTTTTTTTAATTTCAAATTTATTATATTTACGTCGTAAATAATAAACATTATATACTATTCCGAATTGGGAGTTTTAAAGTCGAAAACATTCCTAAAGTCGGGACGGACAGTCCCAATTGAAAGGTGACCTTCAAGACCAGGTAAGGACCCATTTTAGTATTCCCAATATTGCTTAGTCACAAACAACTCGTATACAAACCAATGAGTCACTTTGAAGAACAAACCTAACCAAAACAGGTTATGACTACAGGAATACATACGACACGTGACACTCCGTATCTAATGGGCAGGTTTTATAGTGGAAATATTTTTGTAACTTCCATTTACCAATATAACTTTTCCGATTTTGAATCATTGTAATGTTGGTTTTTTTTACAAACAACGCGATTCTCTAAGGGTATAAATATATATATTAGACAGAATTTGACGCCATATATTCTCAGTATCAAAGATTCGTTTTTGAATACGTAGTACATTTAGGCACGTTTAATGGTTAATAGATGTAGTTACGTACGTTCGAGCCCCGAGCGCGACCGCGAGCAGAAATGCGCCGGCGCAGGTCTTCCCGCAGCAGGCTTTTCAGCGGCGACACTTTGATCAGCGACGAGAGACTTGAGGAGACGCCGCGCTTGTCGCCGCCGTTCGCCTCGCCCTCGCCCCCCGCGCCCGATTCCTCTTGAGCGTTGGGTTCCTGGAAAACCCCGCACGACTCGCAACTATAGCTCTTTCGCGTTCAAAATGCAGTTGGAAATTCAAGCTTCTATAGCTTCACATTCTAAAATTTAAAACTGGATAATTAAAAATTGATTTTTTTTTCTTTAATTTAGAATTTAAAGCCACGTGATTGGCCATATCGTATTTCCTTCTGCGTTCTTAACGAGAATGAACAAATCTATGTGCCAATCTCTTTTGTTTTCTTCATGAATATGAAGTCGCTCGCGGTAAACGATTTTACGAAGTGTGATGATTATGAAATGATGTTTTTGACAAGATGAAAGAAACAGGAATCGTCGCCATTCTAAATATAAATTCAAAAGACCTTTTTAACCTTTTATTGTATATAGTATCTGCAGGTAAATATAAAAAAAGTATTCGATAACGCACTCGCACCCGGAGCAGTCTAATCTATTAGTACAGGTTCCTATTCAAAATCCAATTAAGAAGCACGCAAAATTCGCCCATAAAACCCGTTCGAGACGTCGCTCGGCCGCAGCCATATCATTTAAACAACACGATTATGATATCACTCGATAAGTAAGCAGGAACGGGCGGCCCGTTATTCGCTCCAACACTCATTCAAGATTTAATCATGTTAGGTTTCCGATTTTCGATAATTTGCTGTTGAATCAATGAATAAAATTATGGTGACGAGACACAAATAACTACCGTCACTACGCCGCATGTGGGTCAAATGGGAAAGTGGGAACAGTTTTCGTCGGTTCCGCGTCGGCAGATTGAAGTTACAAATTCTGATATCTCTTATTGGGTTTTCGAAGGAATATTGTTTAGTAAGGAACGTTTTAAACATGCATGTGTAGCGAATGAAATGGATAAACAATCATGATGTAGGTATGCAAGTTATCAAGTATGAATAATTGGTTATAAGTACGGTTCACAGTACCTGTTTTATGGGTATGAGAGTGATGGAGGGAGTGATGTTGGTGGGGAGGCCGGCGGACAGCGAGCTGCTGGCCACGGCGCTGTCGCCCGACTGCGGCGAACTTGGACCCTCGCCGTTCATGCGCGAATCTGGTATCATCGTTTACAAATTACGTTCTGTGCTGCATTTCGTCCCACTGTCGGTCACGGGGTTCCACGTAAGAAAGGATTTTAGTCATAGTCCGTGGTGACCCAATGTGGGTTGGTGAACCTTCTTCGACGTGCAGGTTTCGTCACGAAAAGTCTTCCTTAATAGTGAAAGGTATTGCTACTAAACAATAAGAAATGTTACACATGGCGCCACACGGGAGTCAAACCGTGACCCTCAATTGAGAAGCTACCAACCTTCCATTAAGCTACCAGCGTTCTTTTTTCCACAATTATGCGCAACAGATTTTCCAGGGTTGTAATCAATATAAAAAGCTATTGTATGCCATAAATTCATTAAAAAAAAACATTTTATACATTGAAAAAATTTTGTTAATTAATTTCACATTAATTTATTTATTATTGACACGAACGTGATATATGATATTAATTTATTTACATTGATTATTATTTTAATTACTTTTGTTCGGACATAACTATTACAAGAAAAAAAAGTCTTAAAACCGTTTTATTTCTTCTCATTGTCCGGTGAAGGTGGAACCCATGAATCATGACTATTGTAAAGGATTATTATTTAGAAGTATTGGACAAGAATAATTACACTTCGTATGCCTTGATGGTACATCATGACAATCATAACATAATGTATGTTAACCCACGATGACAAATAAAATTATTTTATTTGATTTGTTTTAAAATGTGTTATAAGTACCTGAATTGTTCCCAAGATGATTGGCCTGACCCGGAGAAAAAGTCTCGTTGTTGTCAGCCATTGATATCTCTACGTGTGGAGTCAGATAGTGCATCGGCGGTGTGGCGTTATCCACGGATCTGGCTCCGTTGCTGTCCCCGCTATCGGAATACGCGGCCGCTACGGACACGGACAGACCAGAGCCTAAGGCACCTAGGGCGTTTATGGTATTAGGATCCATGGTGCCATCAGCGTAAGCCGCGTTAGCTATGCCGGCGGCGAGCAGCGACACAGAATTATTGCTTGGTCCCGGGTTATCTAGGTCGATACCGTGTCTGTTAAAAGAAAAAAAACATATTAGACAATGAAAAATAATTCATGTAATAATAGAGTAAAAACTAACACCGTCGCGTAAACAAGTCCGCAGTCTGCGAGACCGTCATGGATAAACCTACACATTCAATGAAATTTGCCCAGCCCCAGGTCCTTGCAAAAGAAGTCCGTTATCTACCCAGACTGCTGCAAGAGGCCATTGAAATAAAAAAACATCCTAATTTCAACAGGGAAGATGGTTTCTCCGTACCACCAGTTTGGGGTCCAGTATTTCCTCTGATGAAAAATCCCAAACAGACATAAGACTGCAGTACTAATTAATATGTTTTTAATTTATTCTAATTTCCATTATTAATTAATAATAAATTTAACTTAATAAAAATTTATGTTGTTACAATATAATAATTTGAAAAACAATGTAGCGTGAATTGGAATGTTTCTTTGTAAAATTAAAAATAAGGTATTTAATTAATAACTTTTGTAATTATAGTGACAAAATGGGGTGGTTTGCATTAAATATTAGACATGACTAGTGGATGACTGTACCACCTCAGTCAACCGTGACCATGGAACCCATAAAGGGCCCATTGATTTGTTTAAAAAAATAAATATACGCGATTTAAATCCGGAAAAATAGTTTCATTTCCTATGTGTAACAATCGCGAAAACCTAAGAACTCGATGGAGTAAAGACTAATTTATTTATTTATTTGATGCACAAAACAGTTTACATTCAATTTAAGGTTATAATCTAGGATGTAAACCTAACATATAGATATGTACATACAGCATGATTGTTCAGCTCGTAAAAATAATAATAAAAAGAAAGCATACAATTTCTTCAACATGATACCCCTCATGGAAGAATGGCATAAGTGGCGTTACGTCAAACATGTTTATTGCTCCATTAGATACAGAAAAATGTAACCCACATGCTCTCCAATTCTTATAACTCAATCTAGTAATATTGTAGACTCTATCAACTAATGAGAAGACGAAGCCAATGATTCAGAACACTGTTATGAAATTTGTAGGTGTTGTTGTCAAAAACATTACAATTACCTATTGAAGAAGTGTACTCGCAAACTCTTCATGGTCGGGGCGCGATAGCTGCACAAGGGGCAAGTTTTGACGAGGTCGTGTTGGCCGACGTGCTCGTTTTGGAAGTGTGCGCGCATTGCGATCTGGCGTTGGAAACCTCGGTTGCAAATAGGGCAATGGTACGGCAGGCTCTTGGTGTGGGTGGTGAAGTGCTCGGCCAAGTGGTCTTTTCTGAAGAACCTTTTTTGGCAAACGCGACATTCGTAGGGCTTTACTCCGGTGTGTCGCATCTTGTGGCGACGCATGTTGGCGCCGTTGGAGAACTTCATGTTGCAGACGTCGCACTCGAACAGTTTCCTGTGCGGGCGCGCGTCCGCGTTCTGCGCCGCCGCCACATTGTTATTGTCGGGTGAGCACTGCGCCATGTGTGTGGTTAATGCGCGGCTGCTTAGAGTGCTAAAGCTGTTGCACGTCGTGCATTTTAACAGTGTACCACTGCCTCTTTTTGGAGTCTCTTTACTGGCTGTTGCAATCTGAAACAAGGGTGTAAAAGTATGAAGAATGAAATGATTTTTAATATTGTAATGGGCATAATAAATATTATATTATTATAATAATTGAGTAGCAGTAGAGTTCCTTGTGAAAGAGTTCGTCCAGGGAAGTACTGCCATCTTATTTATTTCTGCCGCGAAGCAGTAATGTCAGCGTTACTGTTTTCCGGTGTTGAAGGGTAAGGGTGCTGGTGAAATTACAGGCACACGGGACTTGTTACTTTGTCTCAGGGTGACCGGGCGCAGTGACAGTGCCCGTCAGATATTTGCGATAAACACTTTAAATTATTATACTGCAGAACAAGTTTTTATAGCAGTCGGAATATGATTATTCAATTATAGAAAAGACTTATCAAGTAGAAATCTGCCTACCTCAACAGGAAAGGGGAGTGGTAACCTGAAAAAAAATTTCGAACACACTATTTGAACCACACCGACGTTATATATAAGTTGGCTAGCTACTGTCACAGACAAAAGTATCTATAGTAATAAAGTTATTCATGACGAACTTGCACAATGGGTGTTAATTAATTAATATACTTCTTTACAATTGGGAATAAAACCACATTTTGTTAATCTATTTTAAATAGCACGGCTTCTAAATATATCTATTAATTAATGATACATATTGGAAATTTGGGAATGTGTTTTATTGTAAGTCATAAGTCATTAATCTATGGAAGTACAATATACCAGCCCGTTATACCATACCATACATGGCTCATACACAAGTAGACAGTAACAAGATTAGAACTATCACAATGTGCACGACCAAACATTAAATATGACAATATATAACACAGCACCTCAAACATACATTGCCTATTTATGAATACACACTAAATAATAATAAAAAATGCCCGCAGTACTCATCGTACCATGGTGGTACGATGGGTATTTTTTAAGTTCCTACTGTACTACCCAATATAAGCAATTACAAGCTTCAATTCAATTGAAGAGATGAAATTTAAAAATATTACTTACTAACAATATTAATAATAACAATAATTTGCCAGACAACCACACAAATTACATGGTCTCAAACTAGAGAATTCCCTGTGCTTCAAAACCAATGGAGTTCACACCAGAGTATTATCAAAATGCCCAGACCACAACCAATTTAGAAAAGTTCCAAACTGGTTCTGCAGGAAATTCCTCATCCAATACCCTCAGTGCAAACTGTAGAGAGACCTAAATGTCTTTATTATGTATAAAATGTTAGTTTTAGACTATGAAATGGTGCTGAACAGAATCAGCTGAACAGAGTCTTTGTATATTAATGTTCGTTTTACCTACAGATGAAGTGCGTTCTTTAAATTCCAAAATAAAATTCCCACCATTACACTACCACAAAATATCACTTTCTTCAATAGTACATTTGAATGCAATACAAGAGACATAAAGGCCATTTACAACAAGTTTTGACAGTTGGTACATAATACATGGCCTTTCTAAATAATACGAAGACTTATTTGAATATTTATACTTTTGAAGTTAGCTCTTACAGGACAGATGTCTAGGCAAACAAGGCTGACATATTATAAATTATTAAACAAAAGAAAATGTAAAGCTATTTTCTTTGTTTTTCACAGCTTAATAGCTAATAATACATTTCCAATTAAGTAGGACACAAATACACAGGTACAGCACAAATATAAAATAGTTACAAATAAACAATGGTACATTGCAATTGCATAACAATGGTTATGAAAACTATATTTTTATATTCATATAGCAAATCAGTGCATAACAAAAATTGCTATGACTACTTTTTAATTGACAATAGATGAACAGGTCATGAGGAGTGCTTGGAAACCAGGAAAAACTTGCTAGTAAAGTAAGTGTCACTGAAAATTATGTAGCCATTCTAACTAATAAAATACATCTATACATCCAAGGTGGTCAGTTTTAGTCATTCTTTAGAGTGTGTAAGTATCTGCAAATTTGATGAAATCTACCCTATATCACTACAATTTTTAAGTACATTGACAGACACTGAAAACATTTTAAAAAGCTTTGAAAGCAAGTCTCATATTATCCCTTATAACACTCATAGACATACTTACAATTTTAATGACAAACAAATTATTTACATCACAATATAAAATATACACTGTAGATAACTTTTTGTCACATAATAAAATGTATGTAGCTCACATCAATATGTGAAAAAGATCATGTGAAGAACTGTTGAGATTGTTGGTAAATGCTAAGTAGTTAAACAAAACAACTTTGTTTTTTTTATTCTATACATTAAATATATTACAATTGTAAGAGGCTATATTTTTGTTTTAAAGTATGATTTGGGCATTTCTGTCAATGAAATTGTAATGTATTTATTTACTGGACTTTATTAAAGCTAGTTTGTATATATTACTGACAGATTAATTTTATTATTCTTGACATTGTATTTTAAAATGTCACCTAGTGACATTAATAATATGTGGTAAATGGCTATTTTAATCATTTTGGTATTTTGAGTACTCTTCATCATCCCAGAAGGATCTCCATATTAAAAGTTGGTTGCATTAATAGTTCTTAAAAGACCATTTTAAAAGTTGGTTGCATTAATTGTTCTTAGAAGACAACACACAGATCTTTATTTTATTAAATTATAAAAACGGAAACACATTTATGTTAATACAGAGGTACTGGTGTTTTAATCGAGTCAATACTTGTCTCTAAAAATGCTAAAGACTCAAAAACAAGTCCATGGTACATAACTTTACTCTCAGGTACCGAAATAAATGAATGTTATTATTATTTTATATTTGAAGTATTTTCACAATAATTCCAGGTGGGGTTTTGGATAGTGAAATAAAAGGTAGATAAAGTAGAGCACTGACATTCTGATAAAAGTTATCATTAAAATAGGAAACATCTAAGACCAATAAGAACAATGCTCAGACAAATATAGTGTAATAGCTTTAGTATTCAATTGAAATGACTATATAGTAAAGGAACAATGTACCTAAGCCACATTTTAATAAACATTTTTCTTTTGTTGCTGTTTTAACTTACTGATTCTCAGTGATAGCATTTTGATCTCTATAACAATGAGATAAAGGCTACAAAGATAAGACTATATTGAATATAATATCAGCCAAGTCTTTAAAGGATAACAATTGACATAAGGAATTCTAGAAAACTTAAATCAACATGATTCACAAATAGGAGGATAGAACACAAAATAACTTCAATTATGATGATTATTGGAATGGTAATAAGAAGTACTGACCGGTTCATTTTTGACGACTACAGAATTCGGCGACACGGTGCCGGAGTCGGCCTCGGTTTCCCCTTTTGATGACATCACATTACCAGGTCACACGCTCTGCACATCTCCCGCCACTACGGCTACAAACAAAACATCCTATTTAACACAATACACCAACATATCAAAATAAGAACACGACTATCTTGAAACACGACTTAATAAAAGACGAATTCACAAAACAACTTGTTTCTTAAAAGAATGGCGAGGTGACCCATTTACGAAAACATACGAATTATCGACTCGCGATATACTATTTATAAACCTTATCTATCCTATTCGATGCATATCCCACATCACATAAATTCACCATCGTGATAAATTGTTAACACAATAATAAATTACAAACTCACGTTAGTTGATACGTCGACAGCCAGAACAGCGGTATTTTAGGGAGAGATCGCTATGTGGCCTAATTCAATGCTCAGAGAACTCGATGCACAAAATACGTGTTACGCGTATAACTGTAAATGCATAAATAAGTAGAACTTCGCTAAGAACTATCACTAAATGGACATATTAGTGGTTTAATCACTTTTTCTTGAGTTTTGCAATGTATTTCTAATGAAATTATAAAGTTTTTATCAAGCCCATTTTGTTACTGTACTTCGGCAAAACGCGCACACCTGTGATTTTTCATTTTTTTCACTTTAGTTTTATTTTTTTATTATGGCAACATTCATAATTGAAGACGTCACATTTAGTACCTTTTGTCTCATTCTAGCTATTACATTTTTATATCTTGCTATCTCTTTCATAAGCTGTTTCGTTTCTAAGGCTACATTATATTTAGCCAATAAAAAATATATTCTAAAACATTTAAGACAAGTATCCGAACATAGGAATGCGCTTTCGTTACAAAATTTTGCATAAGTTAAAAGATAAAGAAAACGCGTAATTGGCGTATAGCACTATTACTTTCTTTCTGCCATAATGCCAAAAATTTGTGTTAAATAAATATTGTTCTCTTGAAAGAGTTTAATAATGTTCTGTAGTGAAACCTGTCAAACTAAACTCGTCGCAAAATTAGTATGTTGTCAGGAAAAAACTTCTATGAAACGTACAAGATTATGTCACATTAATCTTCAGTATTTTATGAAAAGATAATACGCAATATTATCTCTGGATGATAGATTACATATTTTTTTATACCAATTTCAGGACGTCTGTAGAACAGATTACAGATGACAAGAAAGTGTGGTGTTATGGGCGGAAAATCTGTTATGAACATCAAAATAATTCGTTGTAAAAAAACAAAATGTGTTCCAATTCAGTGCTGACTTTCTTTAGCCAATGGCGATTGTGGATTAGGCCATTTTTCATCGCGCTTTATGTTATACTAATAGTGGTTTTAGTGCCTGTTATTGTGACACGTTCGCTAAACAATGGGTTCTCGCAGCATGAACAAGCCAGTCTCATTGGTGGTGGGTTTGTACTTCTCGCCATACCGATCTCTATTTGGCAAATAACGCAACATATAGTGCACTACAATAAGCCATCTCTTCAGAAACATATTATTAGGTAAGTGTTCTGTACCCCAAAGTAATGACCTTTTTTATATTGTAATCTAATTAAGAACTATATAGGTCACGATGTGCTAAGTACGTCGCAAAGCTTAATACTATTACCAAACTACGAACAGCCTTTTTGTTTTGAATTTCTTTAAAATAGTCACCATAACACTCACTCATGTTTACAAAATATATTTCAGAATATTAGTTTAATTATGATTTTAGATTAAATATTATATACTATAACTGCCTCCGTGGCTACATGGCTACCACACTGGACTGCCACCCCGAGGTCCCGGGTTCGATTCCCGTGCCGGGAGAAATATTGGTATGGCCTACATTTATTTCTCTCATGAGTTTGGGTGTAATTTGTGGCTGTCTATGTGTGTGTCCATGGTACCCGCGATACAGGGTTTCCCTAGTATGGGGCAATGAGTGTGTGATTATTATTATTGTCTCTATAAATGTAAAGTTTTATATAACATGTAGGGTTGTTTGTAAAATACTATTAACCTTGCAGGACTATACTGCCTTTGGAACGAAAAAAGGCTTTTCGTTACGAGGGCAGTATATACCAACATCATAAACAACAACTTTTGTTCCATGGCTTTTAACTCTTAACTTGCGGAAGCTAATTGGCCGTTCATAAGAACCAGAAATAGGTCCATCTCGGATCTGCGACTACTGCAAATTAAGAGTTAATAATTAAAAAAATTTTACTTTCATACAAAAATAAAAATATTTAAATATATCACTCTAAACTGTGCTAATTCTATGCTGCAACAAAAGAAAACTTTCAACTATGCTTTACCAGCAGTTGAGTTGATATTAATATGGTGTAATATATAGTTTACATAGTAGTCTAATCCTAAAATATTAACTTATGGAAACTCCTACTTCTAAAAATGTAAATTATTGAAAAATTAATCATGGGTGACAGGTTTTGTAGGTTAAAGGTCTACCCACACATATCCGGGACGTGGACGGGCCGTGGTCCGTCAGGGGTTAAAAAAAATATTGTTGTGTATATTTCTCATGAACTCGTTTACACATGTCCGTGTCCGGGCCGGGGCCGGGATGGGCCCGCAGTTCATATAAACTAGCAAGCCCCGTCCACGTCCTGGATATGTGTGGATAGTCCTTAAGTGTGCACTGGAGACTTTTAGTACTTTTGGGCAGAAACAAATTGGATCGATACAGGTTTGGTTCAGGGTTGTTTCTTTTATATTAACATAGGTTTTTCTTTTATTACTGGAGTCCCCCTGTGCACTAAATTTCATAGTATTATGAGTTTTACAAATTTTCAAATATTAATACACTGTCAGAGGGTGCAGGTAGGACGCGTGTCAGATCGGGAGTACAGCGGGTGTCGGATCGGGAGTACGGCGGGTGTACGCACGGCGCGTCACGCGTCCGACACGCACCCGTTTTCTGCATGTTTCATTAATGTTTTAAATTTGATACTTTGTAGGGGGGCTCAAATTCTTTTCCGCCTCTGTATGCATTTTTGTGTGAAATTTACAATCTCTTATTACTTAGAAAGGGGGGTTCCGTAATTTCCTGCTGACAGGGTGGTTAAATTCCTTCCCCTAAATTCGACTGCTGGTAATGTACAGTCCTTCCATTTAATTTTGGTAAATTTACTTTGTTTTCTAAAAAGTTATGTAGTCCTATGAGGTTGTCAGTATGTTACAAATAACTCTGTATATTCTGGTACCCAAACTAAGCAGAAGCATTATATTGTACAATACCAGTAAACAATACTGTATTTTTAACTAACCTATCATATCCATGGGTTATCATAGCTGATAACTAGAAGATAAATAAATTGTGATTTTTCAGAATATTGTGGATGGTGCCAATTTACGCTTTGAATGCCTGGATAGGACTAGAGTTTCCAGAACAATCTATCTATGTAGATTCCTTAAGAGAATGCTATGAGGCGTACGTGATTTACAACTTCATGAAGTATTTACTAAACTACCTCAATGATGGGCAGGATCTTGAAGAGGTGTTGGAGACGAAGCCCCAAGTCTACCATATATTTCCTTTATGCTGCTTGACTCCTTGGGAAATGGGCAGGTTCGTAAACAATGTAGAAATGTAATTAATTGTTTTTGTATACAACAAGTCAAGGATGAAGTTTCTAAACGTAAATTAACTGATCTAGATATCTAAATATAAATATTAAATGTAAATAAACATAAACATTAGACAACATCGCAATACGTTGCTCTGATTCCAAAGTAAGTAAAGCACTTGTGTTATGGAAATCTGAAACAACGATGGTACCACAATCACCCAGACATGAGACAATATAGAAAAGTTAGTTGTTCCACATTGTCCCGGCCATGGATCGAACCCGGGACTTCTGACATGGCGACGACACCATGAAAAGCGGTGCGCACGGCACTCAACCACGAAGGTCGCCAGTCAATATCTAGATTCTTAGGTACATAGGGCGCACTATAACTTTCCGGAACTGGCCACTTACATAAACAATATTTAAAAAGTAATTACAACATTTTAAAATGGAACTCTTTGGCTGTAGAATACAGATTGTTTCATCTGACTGTCACTTGTTTTTACATTGTGGCGTCATTTTAGAAATTGGTTGTCTATATTACCATGGATTTAAGTCGAGAAAATTTTCGTAGTATGATTTTCTACGACTTTAAGCGTAATTTAACAGCTCAGCGAAGCTTCGCTCGGCTTCAAACTGCTTTTGGCGATGAAGCACCATGCAAGACGACTAAATAGTCGCCATACCAGCTATAAATTAGCTGGTTTACAGGATTCAATCGCGGCCGTGTGAATCTCACTGACGAATTTCGTGATGGTCGCCCGTCCACAGCTGTGAACAACAAAAACATCGATGCCGTGCGCCGTATGATCAAAACAGACAGGCATGTGACATACCATGAGATTCGGGCATCTTTAGGCATAGGCATGAGTCAAATACAATAAATTATACACAAACATTTGGGTGTGAAAAAGCTGTGCTCTCAGTGGATCCCACACAATTTGACTGAGGCTCAAAAAACGGATCGCGTCGCTAGGTGCAATGCCATGCTTACCACATTCAACGAAGGGGTGTCAATTTTGTTGTGGGACATAGTAACAGGTGACAAAACATGGATTTATAGTTACGATCCCAAAACAAAGCAGCAATCGAGCATATGGGTCTTTCGAGATGAGCCGAAACCAACCAAAGTGGCGCGCGTGCAAAGTGGCTCTAAGCGAATGATTGCTTCTTTTTTTAATAACACTGGACACGTGGGTACTGTTGCTTTGGAGAATCGTTGTACCGTGAAAAGTAATTGGTACACGACCATTCGTTTGCCGGAAGTTATTGACAAACTCCAAAAATAATAAAAAACTAACCGTAAAAATAACCGTAAACGCCGTATCATCTTGCACCACGATAATGCCAGTTATCACACGGCCAGACAGACCAATGAATTTTTGACCTTATGAGCCATCCCGCGTGCAGTCCCGACCTGGCACCTTGTGCCTTTTATTTATTTCCAAAAATTAAGAACCACTTACGCGGTCAACGGTTTTCATCACCTGAAGAGGCTGTCGAAGAGTATGGAAAATTTGTTTCAGAGATTGTCACGGAGGAGTGGCATAAATGTTTTCAAAATTGGTTCATTCGTATGAAAAAGTGCATTAACGCTAACGGAGAATATTTTGAGAAACAATAAATTCATTTCTGACCATTAAAAGTATTTTTTTATTCATTCCGGAAACTTATAGTGCGCCCCGCATAGAATTTTGTTTTTAAATATAATACGACCTATTCTTTGACCAGTCTTAATAATTTTCCTCAAATAAATTATTTCTATGTTGGTTGACTCACCACTTATCGTGAGAATCGTAAAGGAAACGGAATATAAATAATCATTATTAACAGGAAAAAATATTTTTCTCACTTTATAGTTCCATAGATATAATAAATAAATAAATATATGAATAAATGCATAATTTTTTTTAATGTATTTTTTTTATTATTGTATTATTAATTATTTTACTAATGATTGATTACTAACTACATTAGACGCTTTTTACACACATACAATAAATTGTAAATAAAATATTTTTATTGCTAATTTGTAATTAAAACAAAAAAAGAAAAGTTTCATATTTCAATTGAATATCTTTCACCCTTGAAAGATATTCAATTCCCTACAAGATTACAATACAAAATAACAAATGTTACATGCAAACTTACATATAACAAGTAGCAGAAATAAACACATTTTCTCACAATTTTTCTGGACTATTAATTTTTTTTTTTTTTTTCAGAGAATTTGTACACAACTGTAAACACGGAATTCTTCAATACACCCTTGTACGACCCATAACAACAGTCATATCAATGATTTGCGAGCTAGCAGGCATATATGGGGAGAGTGAATTTAAACCTAATACAGCATTCCCATATATGATAGCCATAAATAACTTGTCACAGTTTGTGGCTATGTATTGCTTAGTACTCTTCTACAGAGCGAATAGAGCAGAATTAAAACCAATGCGACCAATTGGAAAATTCCTTTGCATAAAGGCTGTTGTGTTCTTTTCATTTTTGTAAGTATACTTGGACTTGGTGGTTAATTGAATGACAAAATCTAAATAAAAAGTTTAGCTCTTGCAGGTTGTTATGATATAAATGATGATAAAAGTCTACAAATTGTTATTTACAAAGAGCAGCTTCTCGAGCATAGTTTCCAAAAGCTGACCCTACTGCGCAATGGGCGCTGAAGACAAGACAATTTCAAGAGTCAACTGCTTACCTTAGGAACAAAGATTATTTGATTTTAAATTATCTGGTTTTATACTAATATTTTTCTAGAACACGTTCAAAGCAAGATAGCGAAAATTTATTACTCTTAAGTGCCAATTTTTAAAAAAAAAAAATTTTATTTTTATTATTTATAATGAAAAATTTTATTGAACTACTCCTAGAAGTTTCTCCAATTAGATGTCTAGGACTCAGACATCTTATTATAAATAACTTTTATCATCCATTGAACTATAAACAAACTTATTACTGATTTAATTTGTTTGCATAGTTTTAATGTGCTGTTTTATTACAGCCAAGGCGTGATAATCAATTTATTAGTATACTTCGGAGTGATATCCACCATATTTGGCATAAATGAGACTGATAAATTGAAGATTATTTCTTCAAAGCTACAGGTACACTAATTCCATTTTTATACTTAGTTTTTAAAATTATCAATTTTATATATATTTTATTTAGTAGCGTACATAGCTTATAATAACTAAACATACATAAAACGGTGTCACATAAACCTATTATAGATTTTGATGTACACCACTGCTTACCGTTAATTTCATTAATAAACATGCTTATGAGGGTAAGAAGATGCTCCGCTCCCTCCTACCCAACCAACGGCGTTAATCTAATAATAACGTACAGTCAGCATTAAGTTGATGTTTGTTTATTGTGTATGTTAAATAAAGAGTTTATATTGGGAAACGTCATTCCAAGGTTAAACACTGTTCCGATTTTATGTTTCTGTTGAAACGAGCGATTACGCGCGTCACTGCCTCCAGCATTGTTTCATTATCGGCAAATTTGTACAGTTTAGCAATAAAACAGCGGAACGAAATTTATATATAGTTAAGATTTTTTATCCCATTGCCGAAGCAATGGATTGATACTTGGGGTTAAATTCCCGTTTTTTTCTTCTTCTTTCCATAAAGGAAAAGGCAAAGGTTTTACACCATACAGCCAAGTCTTGGTACATTATTAAGTCTTTTGAGCCATGTCTTCGTTTAATTATGTTTCTGTAAATATGGCCGCCATAAAGGGGATAGGCAATTTGAGGCGGGGCGTGCTTGGATTGGCTCGGGATTCCTTAGAACGGGTATTTTAGTTCGAGATTCGTATAATTTCGCGTTTTAATCTTCGATTAATGCACAATAGCACTTTCCTATACCACTTTAAACTAGATTTCACAAAATAATTGAAAGTCAAAATAAAAACGACACTTTTCCCTCCAAAAGGCCCAGGGCGAATCCTTAAATTCCGTTCTTCGTCCGACATCTGTCCAAAACAATTACTGCCAAATAGAGATGGGAAAAACTGTTTATTTATTTGAAACGTTTAAACGTTATACTTTTTAAAAAAGCTTGCTTTTTGTAACGCTTTTTCACTTAAACGCTTTTTAGTTTGAAGCTAACAAAATCTTTTAGAAAACGTTTAAGCGCAGACTTTTATGTTAAAAAAAGCTTGCAACGTTGAGTTGATAGCGAAACGCAAGAGAAGACCACTAAAGGTCTTAAGATAAGTAAGTTTTTTGTAAAAAAAACGAGTTATATTTTAATTTATGACATTACATTATTATATTAACATATTGTTCATTGGCGTTTAAAAGCATTCAAAAACATAATTAAGTTGTTTAACTTTCGTAGTTGTCAACCGTTGAAATGAAAAAACTGCTTATTTTTTTAACGTTAAAACGTACGTTTAAAAAGCGTGCTTGTAAAAGCGCTTTTCATATAAACGCTTTTTAGTATGAAGCTTAAAACGTCGTTTAGAAAAACGTTTAAGCGCATAGACTATGTTTAAAAAAGCTTGCACCGTTATGTTGAATTAATTTGTTTAGAAAACATAGATGGCGCTACTTTAAATCTAGGCACGTTGTAAAAATGAAATTGTTGAGTTGGTACCTACCTATAGAACTGACCAGTGACCAACGCTTACGCTTAAAATGAAGAGCGTGCTTATGCGCTTATTTTAAAAAGCAGATTTTTAAAGTGCTTTTCGTTTAAACGCCCGCCTGTACTGTCAAATAAGTAATACTCGACTAAATTAAAAGACGCATGTTACGAATGAAACTTCATACTTGAAATTCTCTTCTGGTTTGGGCGAGTATTACTTATTTGACAATAATTGTTTCGTTCGGTGAATGAGAGCAGACCCCCAGATTGTTCCTCATGTCGACGTCATGCGACGTGGAGCGTCGTAATAATTCAATAAGGAAAGAGATTTTCTAGACTATACTAAATAAATAAATAAATAGACAGGTGTAACTGTTTTGTAGCGGTAGAGTTCTTGTGAAAGATGCCGTCCGCTAATTAAATTTTTTTTGAGATATCATAAAAAACTATAGCCCAGTTTTTGAATATTGAAATCGTTTAATGATGTAGCTATGCATTGTTAGGGTAAATTCCGATAAGTCGAACACTTTACATATAATGATAACACACACACTCAACATAGCCCCGCACTAGGGAAACCCTGTGTCGCGGGTGCCATGGACACACACATGGACAACCACAAATGAAATCCGAAATCACGAGAGAAATCAATGTAGGCCATAACAAGTATTTCTCCTGGCCCGGGAATCGAATCTGGGACCAGAGGCAGTTTAAAAGAGAATTTTGTGCTCTTTTTCTATTGAAAACGGATATTTGACCATTTTTCACTTAGCCACGTTTTAGTTAGTGAACGGCAGTGTTGCCACCTTACCTATTTCTGCCGCCAAGCAGTAGTGTGCGCGTTGCTGCGTTCCGGTTTTGAAGGATAAGGGTGCTGGTGAAATTATAGGCACGAAAAAGTGCATTCCGTTTTGCATGAAAAATGCAACCGGGATATTTTAAAGTGTTAGTACTTCTAGGCTATGATCGTATAAAATATCTAGCGCTAAATTTTTCAATTGTCTTTCGTAACTGCCTCCGTGGCCGAACGGTTACCATGCCGGACTGCCACCCAGAGGTCCCAGGTACGATTCCCGGGCCGGGAGAAATATTTGTATTGCCCACATTTATTTATCTCGTGAGTTTGGGTGTAATTTGTGGTCTATGTGTGTGCCCATTGCACCTGCGACACAGGGTTTCCCTAGTGCGGGGCTATGTTAAGTGTGTGCGTTATTATTATTTTAATGCGATATTTTCATTATTATGTACACATACCTTAGGCGGTAGCTTGATCATGGGAATAATCACTTCTAATATTATGTACATTTTGATGTTTGACACGGAGCTTAGGAGATTAACCAATTAACTTATTATCCGTAGGACTTTCTCATCTGCATCGAAATGTTCTTGGCAGCGATCGCGCACCACTATAGCTTCTCGTATAAGCCGTTCGTGTCGCCGTCGGACGCGCCATCCTGCCTTGGATCATTCCTTGCCATGTGGGATGTGTCAGATGTCAAGCGAGATATTACTGAGCACCTTGGAGTTGTTGGTATGTTACAAATAAGTGGTAGTGATTACACACAGTCATATATCTAGAAAGACGCCGCAAGTACGTACTTCGCGTGCCCAATATAAGTGAATAAACACTTGGTTGCCGCTGCTACACTTCAGAACGCGCTCTACCGTTATCGTAGATAAACAACAATCGAAAACAACCAACAATCGAAAACGCGAAAAATGCATAATTGTGTCATTATAAACTCAAAAGCACCATGACAGTGGGGAAACGAGTAAACAGGGAAGTTTCCTTCCACGGGCAAGTGATTTTGTAATCAGAAGGTGCATAATTTATTTTGATTTTGTATGAATTTCGAGAAAACAATATGCAACGGAGTGTATGCCTCATGATTTGTAATACGATGCGGCTTTTACTTGGTGCGATAGATTTGTGATCCTTTGTTAATACGCCATGAATATCGAAAGAACGCACTTTTGTATAAAGTTTCGTGGTACGGCCGCTTGTACATTTTTTTTTGCCAAATTTAACATTTAGTGATGTATACATTAGGCAACGCTGTTCTCGATTCTGATCTATTTTGAAAATAAAGGGACGAAAATTATTATGACCTTAGCAATATTATAAAATATTTTTTTTATCTTTTTTGTTATAAGGTTTCGTTTTTTTTTCAGTTTTGGAGTATCTTTTATTAGTAGTATCTGTAATTTCGATAATTTTTGCAGCACGATGCCTCGAATGTCCGGGTTTAGTGAGCACATAATTACATACATCGCCGGATATGTAGTACGAGTAATACAAAATAATATAAAATGCAAAGAATATAACAGTGCGCTGTCTTTACAAAAACCTGGAGTTGGTCATACATATGACTTCGTTGCTTTCAAGGACGAAGGTGGTATAGTTTATCTCACCTAAGATGCTATCCAAATATGCAGAGTAGCAGAGTTAGAAATAATAAACAAATACCAAAAATTTACACGAGGCCGTCATTTAGTAAACCTCTTCTGATTAATAAGATTTTATCATATTTTGTCAGCAGTAACATTTTCATTTGTCTTGCCATTCATCAATTTGATCAATTACCAACAGAAAACCATCAAGTAAAATTAATTAAGGCAGTCGCAAGTTCATATATTGACGTGCGTTTTCATTATTTAAGTTAATCAATAAGATCTTCCATTACAAAAATATGCTATATAATAAGCTCATTTTATTGGAAGGACAATAGTTTGAATATTTGTAGTTGATTAAAAATTAAAGTCTTAATTTTTTCAAGTAATCAAAATTTTTTTAAAAACAATTTTTACTAAATCAATCAATAAATAAAAAAACAATCTTATTCTAGTATTTTTCTACCATATCAGTATTACGACTGACTACTTGTAATCAACAAATTCTTGAACATCGATTAATTGAATTGAATTCCGTTCAATCGATTTAGAGCGGAAGGAGGTTTCCCATCACTAAATAGTTCTATTTAGTGATGTCATAGTGGGTACAAAAAATGAGGCACGCTTGGTTTTCATTCAAATTGCTATACTGGCGGCGTCTATCTATCTACATTTATCTGTAAGTCTGTGTGATTACAGCTGTGAAAGTGTTGCCAACTTAGTACAGACTATGTTCTTTTATAGCAACTTCCATGAAGCTAATGGTTTGGCCTACTGCCTCTCAAGCAGAGGGTCGTCTGTTCGGATCTGGCTTCGCACCTCTGCGTTTCTCGAAATTTACGTGCGAAGTTTATTATGAGATTTTGAAACCTGCACGTTGCAGAAGGTTCACAACCCTCGGAATACGTGTGAAGTCCCCAACCCGCATTGAACCAGCTTGGCAGACTATGGCCTAAACCCTCGTCTGAAAGGAGACCCGTGCCCAGCAGTGGGACGTATAATAAATGGGTTGATGATGATGATGCTATCAACATCTGGGCTAAATTTTACTGTCTCTGTGGGCGAACGGTTACCAGACTGGACTGCCACGCAGAAGTCCCGGGTTCGATTCCCGGATAGGGAGAAATATTTGTACGGCCTACATTTATTTCTCTCGTGAGTTAGTTTCTTAGTTACCCCGTGCATAGTAGTGGGACGTGTATGGATTGATGACAACGGTGAAGTACTAGGTACCTAATTCTTTCAATTTCTGCTACAGGAAGCTCATTCAGCCGTAAACTTAGAGGCAAATCAATGTACCACATGGCTCGAGGCTCCGACGAAAATACGAGATTGGTCAACGAGCCAGCTACTTCCAGTTCAGCACCAAGCCTGAGCGTTGAACCGCCTCCGACCATCGAGATACGACCAACGACTTATGGTTCCGTTGATAGCACCGTGTCAGTTGGATCTACGAATTCGGAAACAGAACCATTAATTATCAACTCGGCAGATCCTAATGTATAACCATGTGATAATATTGATTATATAGGTAATAGAGCTATCGCTTCGCATAATAATTATAAGTATTCAGATCATGTAGGCATATTATGAATACTTTATTTTACGATAATACAGTAGTGTTACGAACTGTATGGAAAGTGATTATGATAAGAATTAGCACACTTATCAGAGTTTACTATATAAATATTGTGTAGGTGTACATTTCCATTACCTATAGTGTAGAAGCTCTTTTCTCAAAGGTTCGTGGAATTACATTTATTTGCCAAATTTTATTGAAATCGGTTACCGGAAAGTGCGCAAAACAGGAATATTTTCTTCGAATTTGAATGGGACCAATACTGTGGTACCCTCTTTGCAACAAAAAAGAATGATCAAAATCGGTTCTCAAACGAATTATCGCGTACATAAAACATCCCCCGTAGCATAGCTGCGCATGGTAGTCGCGACTCGCGCGATAAAATTGCAATAAGCCCTATTGGCTATCTAAATTAGATCTGATTGAGACAGCCAATAGCGCGCGCTTATTTCAATTTTATCGCGCGTGTCGCGACTATCATTCGTAGCCATACTACGGGGGTATATGTGCGTATACAAAAAAAAATTAGTGCCGAATTGAGAACCTGCTGCTTTTTGAAGTCGGTTAATAAAGTAACAGAAAAGAGCTCACTTGGAATTAATATTGAGTGGTTTACATAACCGCATTAAAAAAGGAAAAGACCATTGGTACGGTGAACCCTATTACACCTATCTTCCATTGCAATGGGATTAGTAGATCCCACACACTTGATAGCGTCACACGTCCGCTGAATAATTGTCTACTGCTGAACTATTACAAAGACAAACTGTTGTGTCTAAATAGACGTGTTCTAGATTTAGTGAAAAACAATTATGAATTATTTCTCACCCAGTAATTTTATATTTATCTGTGTTTATTGTAAATTGTGATATTAATTTACATTAGCTTAACGTTGTACTCTTGTTAAGTTTTAGAAATAAATGATAATATATTCTTTCTTAATAAGCGTTTCTTTATGATAGATTGAAATAACTAAAACAGGCTGATTCAAATTTCTATTTTATTATCATGCAATAAGATACAATACTTAAGTTTTACATAATTATTTAGTAATTAATTTAGTACATCACAATCAGTTTCATAAAATATGAGCATTTATAAGTTTCAAATACTTAAGTAGTTAATTGTATTCTAGTTGATAAAAATAGTAATAATATAAATATATGATTATGTGACGTGGCAGACTAAAATTATTGTAATTTATGAACTTGAAAATTAAGCGGAATGTATATCATAATGGTGCTGAATAAAAAATGTTTTTTTTGTCTAAAATTTGAAGATATGTCATTGCATATGTTTATAAAAATTACTTTTCCTTATTTATCTAATCAGAACCTTTACGCTAGCAAACAGTATTATCAAACCTGCTCTTGCTGAAGTTTTCCAATGACGTCAGACCGGCTTTCAAGCTGTTCATTTCTATTTTATTCCATATGGACCCCATAAGAAGGCAATACAAGCTTAAAGCGGTTACCACAAGTTTTGTTACGTCATACAGAACATTATTTGGCCAGAACCCTACAGTACCTAACAGAAACATAAATAGTAAACCTCCTACAGTCAAGTAAAGCGTTTTAGTCTTTGATATGCTCTCGGTAGCCTCTTCGCAAACTTTCATGGCCTCGGCCACAGTTTCGCAAAACTCGTTCTCTCGGCTGTAAGATCTTTGGTGCGGCGTCTTCTGTGATGGTTTTAGCTGCAGTTCCAAGGACACTGCGTTGTGATCGGAGTATGAAAACGGCTGGCCAGGTACACGATTTTGTAAAGGATTTCCGAAGTTCAAAATATTCACCTGAAGGAAATTAAAACCATATATAAAGGCGCTTTTCCACCAGTGAGGCGAAACAAGACGAGGATTGAAATTTGTATAGCAAAATTTCAATCCTCTCATAGCTCATCTTCAGCGGAAATTGTCTGGATTGACGAGGATGGGCGAGGCGAGAGTTGAAATATTTGTTGATGTAATATTGCCCCGTATTGCTGCCTACATAGAGTATTATGTTTTGCAAAGGAAACATGATTTCTCGTGATTGCCCGCACGATCTCGCGCGAGCTAGCAATGGCTATTAGTATCAATCGCGAGATTGTGGGTGCGTACGATTTAAGATTTAAAAAAGATGGCTTTATCTGATTCTTCTTCCGTTAACATTTAATAATATTACTTCATGTTACTTCAGCCGCGTCATTATCGCTAGACCAACTAAACAGCACTGAATCTTTACTATGCCCAACCACAGCGCGAGGTCGCAATTGCCCGCGCGAGCTATAATTGGCAATTTTTGGTGGAAACAGGCTATTTCAATTCTCGTTTCGTCTCGCCTCGCCGGTGAAAAACCATCTTAATTGTGGCAATAAATTAAGCGTGTTAAAATGTTTGACTGCTATTTAGTAACGCCATAAACTGGAATGGATATATTTAAATGGCATTTAACACTTAGACCAAAACGCTGAATTATCACTAGGATTACTTTGTACCTTTCTTTAGAGATACAAGGTATCATACAAGAACATTATTAACTAGCTATATGATAAATAAGTCATAGAGGAAAATACACTGGGTGACTGCAAACCTTGAACATTGTTGTTTAGTATATTACAAGCAAATAGCCTATCCTAAAAAGTAGCAGCTCCTTGAGCTCCAAACGCTCCTTGTGACAGAGAACCTGACTGCTATTGCCATTATACCTATTTCAATTTTAAATATGTGAATTATTCCATCTTTTGTTCTACAAGGTGGAAAAATCAACACTACATGAAGGGAACTTATTTATGCATAAGATAGTTAATTTTATGTAAATGAAATATTTTTTTTAATATAACAGCATTCACAGATATTTTAAACGCTTGCCTGAACCGGGAATCGAACTAACTAAAAAATATAACGATAAAGTCCTTATTATATAAAATCCTTATAATAATGTTAGTTCCCCTTCATGTTTTTTTCCAACCTGTATATATGTTTTTGTTCTTACGATACCCTTCCTACGGTACCCTTCAACTAATATAAAGATTTTGTTGTGAAGTACTTATCAATTCTATATTAAAAAGATAAACAATCAGCATTGACTTACAATTATATGGACGTCGGGTCCGCGCTAAAAAGTGTCCGCACTTGTAAGGCGCTAAAATCGTATACAGAGCGCGACACTCCGCTTTAGTCTTCATTTGTTCTACTGACAGCGCGATACTGCGATGACATTACAATTTAAATTTCGAATAGATTGACTTGGGACATTTTTTTCGTGGTTTTTGTATTAGACCCGTCGTCCATTTATTTGTAAGTCAATGACAATCAGAGATAACAATTCTATTATTACTCTTCATAATTTTTCGACACTTTTGTTCGAATATCACCTGCAATGTAACGGAACAAGATCCGTCAATGTGTGCCTTGATGTGCTCTTTTTTCCACGGTATTATATTTTTCCCAGATATTTCAGAGCGGTTACACATTCCATGGTCAAGTCAAATGTTGACTGGTAAAACTCATACCATGGTAAGAAACCCATATAACAAGTGATAATTGTTTAATGAATAACCACGAAAGTTATAAATTCTAAACAGTAACGAGTATCGAAATGCTATTTTAAACAACTAAACAATTTAATTTCATACCGCTATCCTAGTAAACAATTACACCTACATCTTGATAGTCACGACAAATGCACGTAACACAATAAGTGTGGCTCATTATCAACTTCGAGGTTTTGAATGGCATTGTGGTTGCAGTTTAAATGTGTTAATTGTTTTGTTGCTCGTTTCATGAAAAAATAAATATGTGGTTCAAGTTGCAAATAGAAGCTACCAACTTAAAAAACCCAACGAAAACAATTCATAGCTTTCTAGGTAGTTTTTATTATATGAACAAATCATGCGCCTGGTGGTAAGCGACACGTCTGTCCATAACACTTGCAGTGCCACGCAAGGCTTTAAATCGAAAAGATATGAGGGGCACTGTCACCCTGAGACACAAGGTGACAAGTCGCCTGTAATTGCACCACCCTTACCCTTTAAAACCGGAACGCAGTAACGTTCACATTACTGCTTGGCGGCAGAAATGTGTGCCTTATTCCAGCGTGACCATGGTCGAGTTTTTGAAATTTGACTAGCCAGAAAAAAGTCGCTATTTAGTCAGTTCTAGTCGCAAAAAACTAGATTTAGTCGGTCCGCCGTTTAAAAGTGATAAGGGTGTTTTACTGTACACGCGTGGAATAAGCTTATTCCAGCGGCACCATTTCTCAATATCGAGAACCACAACACCTAGCATAGATCTGATTACACTAAAAAAAGTCGTGATTTAGTCGGTTCTAGTCGTAAAAAATGTAGATTTAGTCGTTACACCGTTGAAGTGTGAAGGTGTCCGAAGTCCAAAGTGTCAAAGTTGATGTGGTCTTGACTGTACAAGTACATTTTATTATAAAATAAATAATTTAGATATAGTTAAGAGTGCACATGTCGCTAACAAATTGCACAACAGTTTGGCGACTTTTAGTATGTAAATTTCTTTTGTACTTATGGGAATTATATTAATTACAAAAAACAACGTGTTACATGTCAAAAATGCATTTGAAGTTGGTGAATTAAAAAAAAAAATCCGTAATAGAAATCTACGCAAAACAGAAAGAAAAGGTACGTGGTCTACGTGACAAAAAGTTTGGGAATCTCTATTCTACACTAGATCAAGTGCAAAGAGCAAATCTACTTTTTAACACTGTAATAAAAAATGTTTTAAACGGGGCTAGACCTTACCTCCCAATTGTCTTTTGTTTTAAACAAAATGTGATCAATCCTTTTCCCTTCCGGCGACAACTTGGTATTTTTACTGTCGGAGTAGCTATTGTTCGCGGTGTCGCAAGTCCCCAACTCTTTCTTTATCGATGGATCGGTTGCTTCGCACTTCATGTCGAATGGATCCATCAGAGAGGATAGCTGAGTTATCATTCTAGAAAACAAGACAATGTCGTGATAAAAAAAAATTAAAGATTTTCATATGTTTAAAACATGACACGGTCTGGCCGAAAGCGCGAATGAATTTTCAATATCGATTTATACCATAAATTAATAGTTTTATGTCAAATGGGAGCAGCCTGTACGGTATTCTATTCATAGGTGACATGGATTATTTTCGAGCAGCCTATATACGCGTGTCTAGCCTTGAAAGATGAACGAAACTTCATGGATAATTTTTGTCATTGCTAATTGTATTACCTTCAAAAGGATATTCCTAATGTTAGTTTGTTACGTTAGATAGATAATTGTTAAGAAAAGTTGCGACACTTGTACAAATCTGAAGATCTGGCTCAATTTTGAAGCGAAGAGTTTTGAAAGTGCATTTTTGGAACCATCAACAACAGCTAACATCCAACACAAGATACAGTGTACGCGCAAATATTGAACGCACCAAGCGTTCCGAATTTACGGCCTTAGTGTGTAAAATAAAATTATATTTAATGCCATTGTAAACACTAAATCAAAATGAATACATATAATATGTTATATTCTTGGACACAATTTTATTCAAATGTAGAGTTATTTGAAGCAACGTTACAATATACGAAAATAATATAGTTGTGACATTGATCCTTATCTGCACTGTATACGTACTACAAATGAAAAGCAATTAAAAATAAGAAAGTATTTTTTTTATGATACCAAGTGACTGAATGGACATGTCGAGCGCCTGGTGTTAAGCGACACGCCCCGTCCATAGCAGTTGCAGTGTCACTCAGAGCTTTAAATCGCAAAGATCTGAGGGCCACTGCCACTGCGCCTGTCACCTTGAGACAATCTTTTTTAAGTTGACAAGTCTCATGGGCCCTTCAAATAGGAACGCAGTAATGCTCACATTACTGTTTGGCGGCAGAAATAGGTAAGGTAAAGTAAATAATGGTGATCCTGCAGTTGGAGGATATTTAAAACGGTAATATTTACCTATAAGACAATTCCCCAGGCGCGGTGTTCAGATCTCCTGCTAGAATGGACATGTCAGCTGAGGGTGTTGTGAGCTTCACGAATTCAGCTGTAGAATACGCCTGCAGCATTCTATGTGCCAGGTAAATGTCGTCTTCATGGTATTCTGCATGAAGCTGAAAATGATATAAAAATATTAATACATCTATATCATCTATACATAATGTAGTCAACAACAGACATTACTGAATATCTCTGGTTTATAATAACTTTTATAGGAAGCGCGTGCAATATCATAAAGAAAACTGACGTATATCCGTTACTTAGAAACTGTTCTTTTTATAACTTTAAAGTTTACAATTAAGAGTCGAAACTGCCTCAGCTGTAATTCAAACTTTTCCCGTACTAATACGGTTCATCTTGCTTGGATCGTGCGGCAGAGACACTGGCTTTATTTCAGAATTTACTTTTTTACAAACGAAATTAAAACCTTTTGACAAAATGTTTATCGTATACTGAACGCATTCTATTTAGTACAATTGATATGAAAAAAATTCTAGGTATATGTAAAGTACGTATTAAATACAGCGGTTTTCTCATTGACTTACAAATAAATGGACGACGGGTCTAATACAAAAACCACGAAAAAAATGTCCCAAGTCAACCTATTTAAACGTAGTGACATGTAAAGGATATGAAAAAGCTAAAACGTTGAATTTAAATTGTAATGTCATCGCAGTACTGTCTAATTTTGCTTGCTTCGCTGTCAGTCGAACAAACGAAGACTAAAGCGTAAATGACGCTCTGTATACGATTTTAACGCCCTATAAGTTCGGACACTTTTTAGCGCGGACCCGACGTCCATATAATTGTAAGTCAATGGGTTTTCTCATAAAATTTCTAAGTACGTTAGTGTTTTTTTTTCTATCTTGAAAATTTTTAGGAATCGTGTTTTCACACCGTATACTGATCGGTGTATATCCTTAATTTTATTATATATTTTTTCCAAAGTGATTGCCGCAACACTTTCACTGATATCCGGAATCAACCAAAGCCATTTGAGGTTGTATCGTGTCTATAATAAAACAAAACAATATACGTAATAAATCTTGCTTTGTCATTCTATTATTGATTGATTGTAATAGTTATGTACATATACATCAATATTTACTAGTAATTAATTTTATTATGTTTTTACTAACTTGGTATTCATATTTTTTTTTCGTTTTACGGTAAAAAAACACAAAAAATACCATTGATCTGACTGGACACGAACCATTGTCTGTGTGCCTAACCGGGGGCTACCGCTGCATAACGACAATATCCTACATAGATATCGTTGTTGTAGGTAATATAAAATAACTACCCAAAGTATTTTGTCTCGCTATATGATATCCTTCCCCCGTTTATTTCCAACCCCACTTTAAACAGACTTTCATCGTTATCAACCCACGTCCATCATACGTTCCGCGTCTAACGGGTCTTCCCTCAGACGAGGGCTTAGGCCATAGTCCGCCACACTGGCCCAATGAAGGCTGGGAACTTCACACGTTTTCCAAGGGTTGTGAACCTTCTTCGACATGCAGGTTCCATCAGGATGTTTTCGTTCACCGAAAAGCTCATGGTAAATTTCAAATTAAACTCAGAGGTGCGAGCACGGATTCGAACCCACTGCCTCTGCTTGAGAGGCGGTAGATCAAACCATTAGGTTACCACGGCTTTTTAGTAATATTTTTTGTAATAAACTTTAAATTATGTTAATTCCCCTTTTATCATAGTTCTCTATGATAGATTACAATATACCGATGTTTTACATATACCTACATAGCAACAATAATATAAGATAAATTTGAAGGCGTCTTACATAGCATATCAACAATTGTATATATTTATATACTATGTCTGTGTAAGTATTATGTTCTTTTCAAGATAACAGTTCTGTAACATCAAAAATTAATATGAAAGATTATATTTTCTCACGTAGAACTCCCACAAGACTCGTTGAATGGCAGAACCTGCAAAGCTTTTAAAATTAATAAGCGAAAAATTTGATACTGGCAAAATCCAAAAAAGGCACCGGTAATAAACAAAAAATGGAAGAATACGTTCATATAATTTGATTTACTAATTTTACGTATATAATAAAAATATTAACAAATATACATTAAAATAGAAACTCGCAAAGATCGCGCGACATAAGTTTCACTATGATCGTATATAAGAGAAAACGGCTACTGTGTCGTGTGGTACACCAATCAAACCCACAGATGATGGTCAAAATATTTATGCAAAACTAGTTCTTGATAAATAAACCGGAGCTATAAAATATTATATCACTTCCAGGAGCAGGATAGTGGAGGTGACATTCAAATCATCTGATACCAAAACAATATTAATGGCACCAAAAACCCACTAATTAATAGAAACAAAGTGCCGATTCCTGTTTGGTCGAAATTACTCAAAATCTCAAAGGTGATTAGAAACCCTCTAATATTAACTCATGTTGTTCACAAACCACTAAAAAATTTTGTTGCATTCTGCCTAGTCCAACTGAAGTCTCAAGACTTATTAGTAATAAAAAAATATATAAGCCAAATGCTTATTTTAACTATATTTATAAAATGTCGAAACAATACGGGTGAATTAAACACTAATCAATAATCACACTGAATGGAATAGTAAAAAAGGGTAGCCTTGAATGTACCCACCCATAGCACACTAATTGTGTTAATAACTGAGATGAGGGAGACCTCAACCATCGAAATAATAACTGTGCAAGTAAAATTGATTTTGCTTTTTATTGCTTCGGTTTTCACGATTGTAGATATTTCATATTTCTATATATCGATATTGATAAATAGATAGGACAATAGGTATGCCCTAAGTAATTTTAAACATAGATTATTTTTCATGCATACACACTGTAAGATTTGTTTCTCGCTATTGTTATCCTTAATTTAATCGAGAACATCCTAAGGTAGTATTTGTCACTAATCAATAAATGAAAGATATTTTTACAATAGATACAGCCTTAACCTCTCTAAATATACGTTTTAATAGTCTTTAATTAGTAATAAATTTTAGTAGCAATTAAGTAGAGCTCCATATGAAAGAGTTCGTCCACAGAACTTCTGTGACAGAAGTACTGCCACCTTACCTATTTCTGCCGCCAACCAGTAATGTGAGCATTACTGCTTTGCGGTTTGGAAGGGTAAGGATGTTGGTGTAATTACAGGCACATGGAACTTGTCAATTTCTGTCTCAGGATGACGGGTGCAGTGGCAGTGACCCTGAGGCTGCTAACAGATTGTTTACATGTTTGCAGTTAATGCGTAAAGCCGTGAAGCCGCTGAAACCTCGGCTGCATGAAGTCGTTTGCATGCAGTTAATGCGTGAAGACGTTATCACTTCATGCAGTCGTGTTTTCGGCTGCATAAATTTGATTACGACAGCACGCATGCACTCAATCTATTGGTAGCCTTTGATCTTTACGATTTAAAGCTGAGTGGCACTGCAACTGTTATGGATAGGCGTGTCGCTTACCACCAGGCGCACGACTTGTTCGTCCTGTCACTTGGTACCATCGAGTATATAACCAGAAGTAGAGACGAAATGTCATTTAGTTTGTTTGAAAACTATTATGCCATATCATTACTGTGACACTGCGCTCCCATTGGTTAGCCCGAGTTCGAAACAAATGATGGGTGTCGTCAACTGTTTCACTTCAAATCGACCAGTTAACTTGAGCTTTGCTATAATGGATTTAAATTGCAAAATTACATATTTACTATTTAATTACCGATGAAATGTGATTCCGTTTGTTTTGTAATTAGATGTTTTGCAGTTTTTCCCACACCACTGAATAGAACAGCACGACATTGTTATCTTTATTACAATAAATACAGAATATTTTTTGGAATACACGGAGACGTACACACAGGTCAGTAGTTGGCCTGTCTATATTTCAGTGCAAACAGGAGTTGATATTTATATGACCTGTATCGCTAATGTGTTACCAGGAATATATGGCCCTTATTTCGTCTCTATTTCTAGTCATATACTCGATGCTTGGTACATAAAAAAAACTTGCTAAGCTCAAGAGGTCCATAACCATTTCCAAATATGTCTTTGTTAACACCAAAAGGTAAACATTTATAATAGGTGTTGTTATACTTACATGAGTACAATAAACATTGATCATTACGTCATTGCATTTAAGTCTGCACAGGCCAACTCCTTTGCCCCCAAACCAGTCCCCATGGTGTATCTTATGAATGTACCCGTTTAATGGCCATTGGTGGAAGAACACGTCGTAAATTAACCATTTGGAAAATACACAAAGGCCTGAACCTAGTACTCCACTGCAAAAGGAAAATAAAATATAATAATCTGCCAGATAATTACAGTCAATTTTTTACCCTTTTAGACCCTTTTGCAACTGTAGCTGGTACCACACAAAGTATCTCTTACCTAGTATCTGTATGTATTAGTTAGTGTTTCAATTTAATTTAATTTTTTTTCATGTTTTTATTTGTTATAATTATTAATACAAAGATTTCGAACACTCAGAAAAAATTCCCTCGATCCGGCCGGATTCGAACCGACGTCTTCTAGCTTACCGTGCCAGACGCTATACCAACTAAGCATGTTTTTATATGTTTTTTTATTTTTTTTTTGTTTGTGTTTTTTTTTGTAATTATTTATTTATGTTTTACGTATGAGTGTTTCGAGTATGTCTTGTTTTGTGATGTCATTTTGTGGTTAACAAAATGTATTTTCTTTCTTTCTTTATTTGCTTTCAATCAGTAATGTTTATGTAGTACAGGGTAAAGAGCACGTCAAGCTTGACACTTAAGATTTAAATCCAACTCTACACCGCTTACGATAACAAACGGTCCAAAGTATGTACAAAGTGTCAATTTTGACGTGAACTTCACTGTACTATGAGAAAATTTTCATACAGAAAATTTTATGTACCTGTACTATGAGAAAAAATGTCGCTGGTTCAAGTTCAGCCAGATTAAAGGATTTTTTTCTTTGAGTTTGTTCAATCTATGTACCAATTATTCTTTCCTATTTATATTACACATTTTGTCCAGTCAGGTAAATCATAATATAATTATTACATGAGGTAGGCAATATCGACTTTTTAGATCGAGAATATGTTATTGATACAAAAGTCGGTGCTAAAACGTATATAGACATATGTATCGAATGCAGCTTAACTAGCACCTATAACGTAATATACGTAATAATGGACATTCTGTAATATTTCCTTAATGACGTATTTAAAGCCATGGTCCAATCCATAGTTTCCCAAAGTGGTCCCTACCGCCGTTCCAATAGACGCTGAAGAGTCCTAGATTGGCGATAAGGGCCCCGGAAGCAATTGGGGGCGTTGATGCAGTCCAGGGGGTGTACCGCATTTCAAGACAAAAAAACCTAAATTATCTACATAAAGTACACTACCTACATATATGTATACATATATTTTTTCCCTTGTGATTTTTTGTGTAAAATTAATATAAAAACACGTATTTTCAATTATTTTTTGTGGTGGTGGGCGTTGAATTTTTTTATCAGGCCTAAGTGGGCGACGAGCCAAAAAGTTTGGGAGCCTATGGCCCAATCCAATGGTTTGTAAGAAGAAGAAGAAGACCCCAGGAAATAAATGACTATCTTGAAATACACAAGAGGTACTGACTCAAAAGTACACAGTCACAACCATAGATATAGGATTATATGTATGGTCACAACTGTTATTATATATATTCCTCCTGCCTACTCAGAGACCTTTTTTTTGAATATTTTTTTGTTAATATTTTAGAAAATATGAGAAAAATATTGAAAAAAATATTTGTTTGGGAAAACTAGATTTTCACTATGTCCTATACGAATATGTAGGACAACGTGACTACATTAAGATGACCTCTAAATAGGACGTATGCATTTTGAATTGTTGTAAGTAATTAACACTCGACTAATTAGCAATTAAGTGCAATGAATACTTGAAAAAAATCTTATTTATTGAAAATATAAACCACAAAATGTCCTTATTACCCTTCCAGTGGTCGCGCGCGCGAGACCGCAGCGACCTTATTTTAGTTGTTTTACAAAGACTATAAACATTAGACTGTTGCGCGACCGTGACAATGTACTTTCTCTTACGGCCGCTTTCTATATTTGATCCTGAATCTAAGATTGTTTTCTATCCAGATTTTATTCGATTCATCGATCGCTGCCGGATTTGTATTTCAATATGTGTATCTCGGCTCTAGCGCCCTTAAAAAAAAAGGATCGCTCCCTCTCTGACGTTTAGCTCCACGCAAACGGAGTAAAAGTTCATTACATGAATTAGTGAATAAAATGGTGGTTATGTTTCTAAAATTTATTTATTTATACATGTGCTTTTGGCAAAAATATAAATTAATTGCAAACTTTCAAATATAAAATATTTAACCGTAAGTACGTCAAGAATGACGTGTTTCGAGGAACAGAAAGGAACGTCTATTGTCCAGAATGGAACGTCTATTGTCAAACGAGCGGGACGGCCTATATAGGCTGGAAAAAAATAAAGGGACGGCGCGCGGCGATGGCGGCGAAATGTTAGTGTCAATTTGTGTTTTATTGATGTTTGTTCGTATTCGTGACGTGATAAATAATCTAAATTATAAAAATACCGTTTTGATTTGACTTTGATAAACGGCATTATTTCATTTAAAACCACTTCAACTGATGTTTTGTTCAGCCTAAATTTGAATGTAAATTCAGCGTTAGTTAAACTTGCCATGAAGTTTATACGCCTATTGTTCAAGATGACAGTCGCTTTCACTTAAAAATAACTTCCATTTTCACACGATTACACAGTACAATCGGTCAAAATTGCAGTATCGATACTATAGATCGAACAATCCGATTTGTCAAAACTATGGATCGGATATTGAAAGCGCACAACTGTCACTACCATACAAGTGTCAATCTAAAAATACCAAATGGATTGAACACCCACAGATGGATTGAAACAAAAGATCGGAATAACGATCCATCGATCGGTTATTGAAATAGTAAAAATAGGATTTGGATTGATTATTCAAGCTCAGATAGCAAATAATGGATTGAGATTAAATATAGAAAGAGGCCGTTAGAGTGGCCCTGTGACTAGGGCCTGCAATTCGGATATCCGTAAATTAGTTTCATTCGAATAATACGTAAACAGTTTTAAAACAACTTTCATTAGGTGTTTTAAAGAGATAAGACCTAATACACATGTATTATTTTATGTTAAAATACAACATATTATATCTATCAAAAACTCTCAGAAAAAAATTTGTAATATTGTATAATGAAATATGTATTAGCTTGCTCGCCTGCATTCGCATCGCGGTCATACCTAATTCGACCCCAGCACCCTGCATGCCATGCAAGCCGGTACTTCGTGCACAGTTTTACAAACCCTTATTTTTTATATCTAGCGAGACGAACAAGTCTCCATAACAGTTGCAGTGGCACTCAGAGCTTTAAATCGCAAAGATTTGAGGCGCACTGCCACTGCGCCCGTCACCTTGAGACATTAGTTGACAAGTCCCATGTGCCTATAATTTCACCAGCACCCTTACCCTTCAAAATCGGAACACAGTAATGCTGATATTACTGCTTGCCGGCAGAAATAAGTAAGGTCCAGTACTTCCCTGGACAAACTCTTTGACAAGGAGCTCAACTACAGTTGCGCAACGAATGTAGATGCACAGAGCAATAAGTATTAGTAACTCCCCTTGAGTAACCCTGCTCGAGGCTCACCTCGATGACGTGAGCCGTCCTGTACGCTTTGTTTGCCGGATCGCGTGCTGAAGATTGAATGAAGGTTGTGCGCGTTGTTAAATATTTTAGAATACGTTCAGCGAGTTTTGTGTACGTATGAAAAGATATTGCTTAATTTATTGAATTTTGAAAGGATGCACACTGATTAACTTAGCTTTGCACAGACGCATGCTTGCATGTGCTCCCACTGATGACATTTAGAAAAAAATTACATATGACACAAGACCTTTGTCTATTGTTTTGAAGAAAAGAAACGGTATTAAAAAAATAGTAAGTTTTGCCACCTTTTGTTACATCAAAAGAATTTGTGGATTTATATGTACTACTCGTAGTACGAATGTAAGTAGGAGGAATAAATCTGTTGACTGAGGATGTAAAGTGTCATGGAACTATTTATTCTAAACAACACTAAAACAATAACACAAATCTGTTTATGATTCGAAGATTGCCAAAATATTACAAAAAAAAATACTAAATTAACCTCAGAGTCACTAACCAGAGCACTCAGGTGGGAACTCCGAAAGTTCTTTTTCCTAAAGTGGTTGCACGGACAATGGCACATCAGACTACACATTTTTGTTCGAAAATCGCCTCGAGGGCAATGGAACAAGATAAGTCAATGTGTAACTTGATGTGCTGGCGTGTGTACCTAGAATTCATCCTGGACCTTCTCTAAAAGTTTTCAGAAGCTAACTGCTGGGTCCACTTTTTCACAATTTATTTTTTAGCACAGTATCAAATACATTAATTTGTTTAAGATTCAAAATAAACAACAATTAAACTATCACTTAATCAGATCGACAGGCAAAATTTGATCAAAAAAAGATTCTTCAATTGTCCTGCCATCAGCTTGACTTCTTCACAACTCATCCTCTTTTAGCCCAAATAGTTTTAACTCACAATTCATAGAAAAAATTGTTTGTGTTTGTTGAAAAAACACAGTTCTAATCAGAATTGCTATATATTGACGTGAAAATAAATTGTTTCTCCAAAATATTAAGTTCCCTCATTTGTGTTGTAAGACTGTGTAATAAGAATAAGGCACAGGCACTAAATAAGACAACTTACAAAATTTTATAACACCATCTAACAATAACATTTTTTTAAGCATTATTATTAACTCTCATAAAGATTTATTAACTCATTAACTGGATTGGAACTAATTTGAAAAAAATCACATATTTTACAGGTCCCATGGTCACAGTTGACAGCCAGTCATGACCATGGGCCCTGTAAAGAACCCAAATCATTGGTTTGTTTCGAGAAAACATGTATGTAAACTTATTTTTAAATTAGATAAAATAGTTTAAATTCAAAATCTAAGTAACTACAAACATTAATTTTAAGAATCTGGCTCATTATTACAAAAGTTATTTCAAGATTTTGTTAGGTGCCCACTGTTATTGGTGTGTGAATAGAATAGCAAAAAAGGACTACTCCAGACATTCTAAAGTAAAAATTATAAATAGGATTGCCATACCTGTAAAAGTAATGAGCATATGGCAGCACATTTTTTAAATTCTCTTTTATGTACAAATAGTCTTTTTCACTCCAAATTTCTTGTAGGCACACAACATTATGGGAGCTGTTCACAAGGTATGTCACAATGGCCTCAATTCGCTCCTTGCGGTTCTTAGAGATCACAGGAATGCCCCTGCAATGACAAAACAGTAGAACTATGCATTCTTTGTTTACTACAATAATACACATTTATAATAATTTGAATAAATAAGAATCTTAATCATTCTTGTGATCGGTTCATTGCTTCTCACGACTTAGTGATTTCACACTTGACTATTTTCAATCTCATATATTAATCAAGATAGAACCGCATCTCTATATTTCGCAAGTTTGAAACTTACCAACAGTTTAGGGTGAATACGTTCAGATTTATATCCATTTCAAATATGTCTTATATTTTTAACACTTCTATTTTTATTCACAAGTTTTTTATAAAGTGAAAATTACTGAATTTAATTCAAATTAAATTGAACAAAGCAAAATTTTCTACAAATTAAATTAAAAACACATCCACTCCTCCAGTCTCCAAACAAAAAGTGACAAATGAAAGTTTTTGTGTTATTGAGAACCTATATTAACATAAAGCAAGATGGAACGATTCAAAAGTTTAGCTTGCTCTCTCTTTCTAATAATTCAACTATTAATACAAACGCCAACTGTCAACGGTAGTGTTTTAAATTTATCTACAGCACTGCGTTCCGCAAACATACAGCCATTATCTTTATCTTTCTCATTATCTAAATCATTTTGTTTATTCAACGTTTTTGTTTGCACTTCACCATTTAATTTTTGAGTAAAAACGCGTGTTCCTCAACCAGATATTGGCGAAATCATCGATCACTTCGATGGGGCCATAACATTCAAAAGAAGATCTACTACACAAACGAGAATTCAAAAGTAATGAATAAAATATTCAAATTATAGTAAAAAAAAAGTATTATGTTTTAAGCCTTTATTGAGTTACTCATATTACAAACTTCAGTCTTTTCGCTGAAACTTGGGCCAGGCGTGCGAGGTTCTTGTAGCAATCCAGCTAGCTTTAGAGCTGTGGATAATTTAAAACTACCGTCATCTTTCCTCACGCAACGGCCCGTAGCTTTAGTTTTATAAACTCTTTTTTTAGAATCATTTATGTGTTGTCGTAACACATGTGCTTCCAGCTTCGCCTGTGAAAAATACAAATTAATAACTACACCAAAACCCTAAAACCCAAAGCCAAGTAATAGAATTGATAAAATACAATATGTACCTTAGTTGATAACTGAGCATTACAAATATCACACTCATGAAGTAACCTTGCGTGCTTGATTGCAATATGCTGTTTTAAGTTGCTATTTCTTGAATAAAATCTGTGAAAAATGCAGTCATACATTGTATTATCATCATATACTTGATTTAATACAATAGAAATTCTCCAACAATTCAAGGCCTAACAATCAAAATACTAAACTAAACATTCTCTATAAACATTTCAAAAATTTAATGCACATTTCTCCAACTCTTCACCTGTTACAATTTTCATACGGGCAAGAGAATATTTTGGGCACATTGTGAATTTTAATATGGCGAACAAGGTGTCCCCTTTGCTTGAAACTTCGAGCACATTCATTGCAGATGTATTCTGAAAAAAATTAAAAAATACATCACTGGAACTTAGTAACTTTGAAACCGTAAAATGATGTTTGAAGGATATTTTTTTAATTCAGCTAGTGTTGGTTACATGTTTTTCAGTATGAAATGCCTTTGATTTATTGAACTATGATTTGTGGGGACTCATTGGTTTTGTATTCAAGACAGTAATAACTTTAATTAAAAAAAACTTCATACCATTTCCACCATGTTCCAATTTCATATGTTTCTGTAATCTGGACCACTGTTTAATTTTGAATGGACATTTTGGGCAGCTATGAGTTCTGTGGGATCTCAGATGTTTCTTTTTCTCTAACAGGCTAATAAACTCTGCTGAACATAATTCACAGCTGTAAGTCAGAAATAGATTAATATTAATATGGGGAAGAATATCAAACCATTTACCATTTTACCATTATGTCTCATAATTCTATTTTCTTTTATATAAAAGGTGTTGTCATTACCAGAAAGATTTTATGCCAGTATGCTGGTACATATGAGCAGTGAGCATGTGTTTTTTGGGGAAGTCCAATTTGCAGGTGTCACATGAGAACGGGATTTTCAAATTGTGCTGTATCTTTATGTGTCTCTTCAGGTTTTGACGATTCGAATAGATCTTAAAGCAGGTGGGACATCTGGAATTAAAACAGCTGTTACTTACTACACCGTACCGCCAATTGGTATGTAGTAGTGGCTACCCAGAGTGCACAAAAGTGGCCTCCTCACAAGACATACCTTTACTTTTTTAATTTATAATATCTAGTGACAGGACTAACAAGTCGTGCGCATGATGGTAAACTACATGCCTGTCCATGACAGTTGCAGTGCCACACAAAGGTTTAAATGGCAAAATATCTGAGGGGCACTGCCACTGCGCCTGTCACCCTGAGACATTTGTTGACAAATTGTTTCCTGTACATCTGAGGCACTCCAGACAACCATCAGCAGGTGCCATTGTTAGACAACTAGCAAATCCTTTCGTCATGATGGGAAGCATTATCTACCGTTATATGCCATTGATACGATAAGTAGAAAGCCTACTCAAAATAACTCGAATGGTATGTTAGAAACACCAGAATATATAAATATATTTTACATATTACCTGTTAATTTCATCCTTATCTAGTTTTTGATGCGCTGTATTTAGATGTCGGTCTAGATGGCTTTTGTTTGTATATGCTTTAGAGCAATTTGCATTTGGGCAAACAAATGCTTTCTGAAAGTGGAACATTATTATTAGGAACATAACAACGTATTTTACACAAGAAAGTATTTTACTCTAATAAAAGACATGATTCGTTCGTACTTACAATGTTATCATGCACCAACAGATGTTGGGCTAGTCTATACGGTCTACTGAACGAGACTCCACAACCCTCATGTGGGCAACGATGAGTTTTCTTTTCCGCCATAGTTAAATGGAATCTACCGAATACACTTTGAGTTTCTTCCTATCATAAAAACATGTATAGTATAAATAAAATTCACAAGAAAAGAACTACAATTAATTGAACGAGAAACCATACTTAAAAATAACCTCAAATTATAAAACCCGCGTCACATGAACTTTTTTTTTTAATTTCTCTCATTTATTTGGGTAGGCAGAGGTTTCACTATACAGCCTCTTCATAATTGATTGGCAAGATTTTGATTTTTTACATATTCGGATACAATATAAGTCTGTTTTAATGTTTTAATTTATTGTTCTCTGGCACTTATTTTACTTTGTCAATTTAGGCTCGTTCGTTTCGAAGAAGCATTCTCAGCGTTAAAAATTATAATATTTTAACTCACGCTCTATACTATTTTTAAGACTTGGGTATAGCACATTATATTTACATTGCTTAAATATTCACAGACAGGATTGACAAATGACATAAATAATGTATGTAATACAAATAAATCAGTAAAAAAAATAAGAAAAAATATGAAACTTATTGTCAAGAGCAACTAAAACTAAAACGAACGACCCTTTCCATCTGTCGCTGAAGTTTTGTGTTGCTTCTTTGGAAGTTAACTTTTTATTGTAATTATTGAGAAACAGTTCTTCACATTCAGAAGATACATCGTCGGTACTGCAGTTAAAGTAGATAGGAAAGTGCATTCAGAAGGTGGAATGGGAAAATCGACGCAAGTTGATGGCGATAACAACCCAACTTCGCCCGAGTCTGATCCTGCTAAGTTGTTGGAAGCTGCTTTGCTACAGATGGACGGGATCATAGCCGGTAAGTGTGACTTATGTCACATATTTATTTTCTGTAAGCCTATGGGAATACTTTATTCGTATTATAAAACGGGAAACATTCACTTTAGTGCTACATGCTTCACTGGTTATCTGGGTCTTTATTTCCTCACATCGATGGTTTCCTCGTTTGTCTTCTGAGATTACGTTCACTTGCGTTCCAATTTTGAATTGTAAATGAACTGTATCAGTGATTTGTCTAAATCTATATTGAAATAAAAATTTTAGAAATGCTTATCTTAGGTGAGTAAGATCCCAAAATCGATTGTTTACTTAGTGTTTTATGTAATGCTTGTACATTGTCTTTATACATAATCGTCCTGTGCTGTGTTTGTATGATATATTCATTTAATGTATGTATGAAAAAATACTCACATAATTCCTCTAATTTAGTTATTGTCTTATGTCATGAGTTTCCTTTTATGTCACATTCGAAATTTGACCATGTTATGTTACAACAGTTAAGGCCAAATGCTAATTTTATTACAATGTCTTTGATAAATTCGATTGATGACCTAATTTGATATCTTGATTTAGTTTGAAATAGATAAACAAGTAAAAATGGTCTTAATAGATTACAGGTCGACTAATTGTAATTGTAACCAGTTGAACAGGTATCAAAAAGCAAGAATAACAAGCGTAAAAGAAGTGAAAAGTTTATGGTGTGATCTCAATAATGCCATGAACTTAAATGTAATGTCTACTATATTTATTTCAGTATTTGATGATAAACAAAATTAAATACAAGGCATGGCTACTGCCAAAGTTAAATCTGTTATAATTGACATTTAGTGAAATTCAATACATTCAGTATATACAGTTGAACTCCATTGAGTTACCAAAATATCTAAAATATTATTTTACACATTTACATATTTATTTATACACATTTCGAAACCTCCTATGAGCACTAACGCTAACTTACTTTTTTTGGACCTGTTCTGTTTTTGTTTTGTTTTTTATTTTTTTCGCAAAATTTCCTTTTTTGTTTTTTTTTTAATTTTCACAAAATTCAGATAGCATAATATTAGTAAATATGGCTGTTTACAAAAATAATAGAAAATCGTTAAAAAATAAAGTTGGTGTAGTGTTCATTGGAGGTATCGATTTGGTAAGATGTACAGAATAGACAAAATAATATTAAGCAAATAAATATTAAACCTGTTAATTACAAATATTTACATGTAAAAAAGAAATTTTTATTAAAATTTGTAAGAAAAACAATTTATTATACTACAGGAAACAGGAAAAGGCATACAGGAAAACAAATAAAAATATTAGCAATCATTCGAAGTAAACAATCTCTCCAATATTTACTGACATCAATCAAACTTTATGTAGGGTGGGTACAGTTGTACACATAACTTTTATGCTTCATACTTACACATTGTTTTCTATTTAGATGTGTTGAGTATCTTGTACAAATAATGTTAGATATGTAAAAATGAGGGAAGTGGTGCTGATAGTAATTTATGGGGTGTATTGGCGGGAAGCGCCGTTTTCTTACGCAGACAAGGGGTGTGATTCGCGGGAGGGTGTAAACTGTTGAGTGAGGGGCGCGTGTGGGCGCCAGTCCGTCGCCGTTCGCCGCGCTGCCTGCCGCGATCACGTCTGACGGCCGAGCGCGCACGCGTGACACGCTCGCGTATTTCGTTGCCCACACTTGGTTCTAGTATCCTAGTAACTAGCGCGTAAAGCTCCCCACTCTAGTGTCCGTTAATTGACCTATTTATAAACATTAAAATTATTACATTTAGGTTTTTTACGGTTTGATGAAAATAAAAGTGCAAGCCCAATTTTTATGACCGCTAATTTTGTACGTAGTAATTTATTTATTAAAAGACGTCACTTAATTTAAGCACGCTCACGCGTGTCAATAAAAACTGTCTGCACTGCACTTAGAAAATAATTTTATATTTTTCTCCAGGTTTAATTGAGATTTATAATCGATTTCAAAATTAAACATAGTAATTTACAAAATTGGCTCTATAATTTTAATGGACATATCATGTGCTTTGACAAAGCTCGAAGCGAAAATTCAACTTTTTCGTGCATTCATAATATTGTAATAAATAAGGGATTACTTCTAACGCGTGCTCTATAAATGCATTATGTATGTGCAAGTGTAACAAATATTTAATTGTGAACCAATGAATGAATTAAATGACCTGTTTCGGAGATAGTTACGCCTTTTTGACCGATTTTTGCGATCGGAAATCTTTAATATTCAAATTTCAAAAGAAATATTTTTGTCGGTCATATTACACAGCAGATACTTTCCTCTTAAATTAATAAACATCTGAATGAACAAGGACTGTAATCTTAGTCGGGTTGCGTCAAGTAAGATTACATTTTTGAGGCATCGCTTATCGCGGGCGCTCTCATTCTTCAAATATTTGTTTCTATTTAACGCCTTACGCTAATTCTAGTCTTTCTCATTGCAAAGCGAAGCTCTTATATTTTGGATAATGTGTGGCGGCCGGTCTCCTTGGGTTATGACGCCTCCTGCGCTGGTTTTAATTTATATTATTTGTAGTTTCCAAAATGGCGAATTTTCTCCTGTATTGATTAACTTTTTTTTGCGATATGATATAATATAATCCTCCAAAGATAACATTCCCCACGAAAAATGTCAGATAATTAAATGATTGAAGAAAAAATCAAATTTAAGATCTGACAGAATGGCTAATTAAGACGCCTTAGCATGTTCTGGAGAACGAAAAAATGTACTACTATTGGTTTCTTTACGCCTAGTAAAATGGATAACTGCTTTGCGGGCCCCATCGTACCACTAAAAACGAACCACTGGTAGTGCGGTGGGTATTTTTTGAATCCCTATCGTACTATCTTAGAGATGCCTTGCTTAATTTAGTAGGCTAAGCAGTATATTTTATGTAGAGCGAGGCAATTTTATTATTTATGCCACACCGCTTCCCATTAATCTATTAAACGTATTTCAATCATTTATTATCGCTTAGGAAAAGCCCTTTCGCAGTAAAAAGTAATATTGATGCCCAAAGATAACTCGAAATTTTTTTGCTACGCCGCCGCTTTCGAATAACAAATGAGGTTACGTTTCCAACTTGGCCATTCGTCTGACAAGTTTCATTTATTTTTCCGCCTGCGAGAACTGTTCCAGTTTTGTAATTACTATTCGAGCTTTGTATGAATTTGTTTGTCCGTACAAGTCCGTACGTAGGGTGCGGAAACGTGAACGTTCAACAGGTATTTTTCACTCAGCATTCTCGTCATTCGCCTGTCTAACCCCTGTCGCAACCCCGAAGAGCTCTGGGTAATCTCTACGATCTATATATTTTTATCACATAAGGCTCCAATATTTGGCCGTACATTTATTTCTAAATGTTTTCTGTTACAATCATATCACGTAGCCAAGTTTCCAGATACGTTACTTTCGCAATTTCCACCACTGCGAAGAAGTTAACAGAGATGAAAGGTGTTGATTAACGCACACATCTTTTTTGTTATTAGACCATCCCTTACTTCGTTTAATTTTCTGCTAATTTCTTAATTTAAATCTATCGTTCATGAGTTAGGGCGCCTTCAAATTAAACGCTTGTACGAGCACTGCAGTGGCGCGTGTAGCGCTGCAGCCGCGTCACTACTAATTTTCATAAAAGTCAAAGTCAAATAATAATTTATTCCATACGTAAAATAAATTTACACGTGAAAACGTCACATTTAAGCTACTGCTCGTTCACTACGCTGACTTCCCTGATATGAACGAGCAAAAAACTCTAGGGATTGCTCTTTTCAAGTAACCTTAAATGCTATGGAATACACTTTGAATCAAATTTGTGTGGAATCTAGAGCCGTCTCGTCTTTCCGATATCCGTCAATACAATATTTAGAATCGCAGCTGCAGCGCCACAGTCGCGTCACGCCACGCGCGCGCCTCTCTTGCAGACTAGATTAGAGACGGAAAAAACTGCTTATTAATTTGAAACGTTCAAACGTTGTGCTACTTTAAATAAGCGTTCTTAAAAAAAGCCCTTTTCATTTACACACTTTTTAGTTCGAAGCTTACAAAATCGTTTTGAGAAACGTTTTAAGCGCATAGACTTTTTATTAAAAAAGCTTGCGACATAGTGTTGACAACAAAAGGCAAGAGTATCCCACTAAATGTTATAGGATACGTAAGTTTATTCGTAAAACACGAGTATTATTTTCATTTATAACATTCACATTGATGAACTAATTTGTTTAGGAAACATAGATGGCGAGACTTGAAAACGCTAGTGAGACATAGTGTTGGGTCCATAACCCTGTAAACTTACACTTTTTGATAATTTACGCCTTTT